CGCGCTCTACGGTCCGTCACACATTCGCAAACCAACATGCAGAACTGCCAGTGGTTGATTCGATAATAGTTGTGAAATGTCTCCATATGCATGCACACCAGCAAGACTTATTGAACCAAGCAGAGCCAAGCTACATTAATGGCAAATATCCTCAAGTCTTCTCATTGTGGATCTCCAGCATACTAAGTCGTGTGTCTGAACAGAAAATCGACAAGAAAGAAGAGAGCAAAGGCTAATCATCTCATAAGAACATGGTCTTGAAAAACTAGAATACATCAAGATGAGCAGCGATAAATTGGAGACCTTACCGTCCAACAAAGCCAAGCCAGTACAGATAACACCGCCATCTGTGGGAGCGATTGCTCCATTGTTAACCCCTCAAACACTTCTTGATGCTGGCGACACTACCGAAGAGGAGGATGATGCTGACTCGGCTATCGAAGCCGGGACTACTGCATCGAGCGACTCCATCGCCCCCAGCATCTTGAAGTACCGCAAAATACATGGGCGCACTTACGCAAATGCTAAGACGGGCGAATACTGGGGTCCGAATGACGAGCGACAAAGCGAAGGACTTGACTTGCTCCACAACGCTCTAACAATGCTCTTGGATAACAAGCTCTTTCTTGCACCTGTTGATGCGACAACTCCTAGTCGTGTTCTGGATATTGGGACCGGGACTGGAATCTGGGCCATGGATTTTGCAGATGAATTCCCCCAAGCCGAGGTGCTTGGCACCGATCTTAGTCCAACCCAGCCGACCTGGATACCGCCAAATTTGAAATTTCTAGTTGACGACTGTTTGTTGGATTGGACATGGCCAGATAATCATTTTGACTTTGTTCATGTCCGGGGCTTATATGGATCTGTTCCGAGCTGGGAAGACCTAGACAGGAAGATATTACAACATCTCAAGCCCGGGGGATATTATGAACATGTTGAAATTGGCTGCCAAGGCTTATCAGATCATGTCAAACTGCCCGAGGATCATGTTTTCAACACATGGGCTCAATCTTTCTACATAGCTGGCGAAAAGATGGGAAGGCCGTTCACTATTTGCCTGGAGGGCGAGATGAAAAGACATATGGAAGCGGCAGGATTCACTGATATTGCGGAGACAAAGCTCAAACTCCCAGTGAACAATTGGCCTAGAGATCCGAGGTTGAAGCAGGCAGGTCTTTTATTTCAGCTTGCCTTAGAGCGCGATATGGAAGGATCTTCCCTATTCATACTGACTCAAATTCTGGGTTGGTCACGCGAAGAGGTTCTTGTCTTGGTAGCGAACATGCGGCAGGAAATCAGGAAGAGGTCCATATACCCGTACATTACTGTGTAAGTCCACTCCGCTCATGCTTTATGACTCTTCTAGTTGCTCATCGTGTCGGATAGAATGGTCGTATACGGGAGGAAGCCACCGAAGACTCAATAGTCACAATGGGATAATACGGACAACAACAGAACAGTTTCAACCCATCCGATCGGCCATATTCGTCACATAGAGAGTATCTCGGTTATCGATGACGAGAGCATCATCAATGCCAAAAATCCTAACATACTAGTATTCAATACAAATGAAGAAAAAACATTTGATGTCGTAGGTTTTGACGCAGACATCTAGCTTCAACAGCAAGACATAAATTTCTCTTTCTTTGCCAGGTTTTCTTTTTCAACCTTCAGACATATCTCTGAAATCGGTGATGTTCCCGATTGCATACTCTGGCCCAACGTGAAGCTGATTTGACGATTTGAAAGCATAAAACATGGTGGCTTCAAGTATTATTGACCGATGAAAATAAACAACCCAGCAATCGCCACAACAAGGTACGATGATGGACTGGCATTGTATCATAACGATTGCATGAAACACTAGTTCAGATAAATCAGCATGTCAATTTAGTAGCTCTTAAACAATGCGCAGATGATTTTCATTTGTGAATGAGGGGGCTTGCGCGAGGCGCCATTTTTGGCAGCCCGACAAGACATGGACCAAGCTGAATGTCCCATTTGCGCCTAGCGAAGGCGACTAAGAGCCGTGATCTGCGAGCATCTGAACACATCGGTCGGGCTGTCCCGTCCAATAGTCCTTACGAATGATACAATTGGTCTTCAGCTGTTTATCAATAGCATGTCTCCGAGACACATGGTTGTTTGTTGGTGCCGCTAACGATGTTCCATGGAGGGTCGAGAACCGACTTGAAGAATCTCCCGCTCGAGCTTTGATCTTTTGGTGTCCCCTCCAAATCCTCCGTTCTCATTCACGATTTTATGTATAACGCACGCGACGTGCCTTGCACCAGCCGCTCAGAGCTCGTACAGGCAAAGTTAACATGGCCTCCTTTCTCGACTCTGCCATGCGCTTGGCCTTCAAGCGACGCCCTAAAGAAGGTCAATTGGATGAAGAAAACGCGCCAAATATAGCAAATGCGGCATCTGTTGCCTTGTCGTCAACCTTGGGAGGCAACTCAGCGCCATGGCAGAGCCAGATTCACAATACAGGACATCTGATGCCCGAAGATGACCCTCTGGCATTATTCCGCTTGATGCTTGGCATAACAGCATCTCCCCAACTTGGATTCAGTGCCAGTGGCCCGACCGGAACACGTCCCGCAGCCAACATTGGTCTCTATGCGCGCGTTGTGGATTCCGAGCAGAAGGCAAAGGACAGCTACAAAGTCTTTTCAGTGGTTATAAACGGCTGCTACTTCCTACAAATCATTATTGCTGCTGCTCTGACTGCTCTAGGCGCGGCGAACGCGAACAACAAGGCCATTACAGCTTTCGGAGCCCTAAATACTGTCATCGCGGGCTTCCTCACCTTTCTCAAGGGTTCTGGCTTGCCTGGCCGGCTCAAGTATTTCGGAAATGAGTGGAAGAAGATCAGAGAGTTTATTGAGCAGCGTGAGCGTGACTTCTCCCGTCATAATTGTCCCCTGGACGTTCATGAAGTGGTGGCAACCATCGAGCAAATGTACGCAAACACGAAGCAGGAAATCGAGATGAACACTCCAGACAGTTACAATTCGGTCACCAGCATGCGGTTAATGGGTGGAGGCGGGTCCGACAAGATCGGTGGTATCGACGCCTCTAAAATCGACGGCGTAATGAACAAACTAAAGAACCTTGACGGTACAATCGGCAATCTGAAGTCCCAGTTCGAAAATAAGACACATCAGGTTCACGAAACCGCACACCATCTGCAAGACGATGAAAAGCATGTTGAAGAGGAGATTCGATACCGTAGGAAGGCCCTTGTGAGCGAGATAGAAGAGGAAAAGCCACGACTAACCCGAGAGGTGTCGTACGCTATGGATGAAGCCGCAAGGCAAGTCAGAAACGAAATCATGGAAAGAGGAACACACGCAGTAACAGACGCGCGGGATATGCAAGAAAGGGCGTGGGATGATGCAAGAACAGGGATAGCAAGACAAGTCAGGATAACTGCGGATGAGATTGATGAACCAAAGAAACAAGGCGATTTGCGAGAGCACTAAAGGGTTCTCCCTACCTAATACCCAGTACACACGATCAATGTCTCGAATTAAATCAGATATTATTACAAGGGCGTAATACAATGGAACCCGGGTTCTCGACAGCTTTATTTGAGCTAAATACATGTGTGTTGGTAGTGGACCCCTGACGTGTTTATTGGTTTGTTTGAATATCGCAATATATTTACCATGGCAAAGCACAAGCTTATTGTAGCTACCGCCGAGAGAGAAAAGGAGCCTTCATAGGGATAGTTCCTAGACGTTAGACCAAGAACGTACGTGAATGGGCTTGCAAATGTCATTTCCAATATTGTATAGATATTGCACTGTTTCAATTGCAACTAGACTCCCAAGCGTTTCTATTAATATTTTGACCTAGTTACCCGCAAGAGCCTCTAGTGGAGGCATGAAATGACATTCAAGCATTCTGATGACTCCCGGCCGAGACACACGGCCTCATGGGGCCACATGATGTAATGACACAGCAATTGCGGGGTGTATGTCCTCAAGGTGTCCACCGAACCATCTCCCCATGACAACTGCCGATGCGTTATACCCGTAATATCCTCAGGACTTGCACCACACAATCTCACTCCGAACGCGATTTACGTTGCCCTTAAACTGGAAAATAGCCACATAGCATCTGAATGTTCATCGCGGACAGCCAGGCGCCTCATATGTATTCCTGCACGCGCGACGCGTAGCCATGATGAAGCACGCCGCATAAGATCTAAGACATTATGGGTGGGACAACACGAGAGGCGTCAGACGATTGGTAGACAGCGGTCGTGGAGACTGATTCCAACACCACCTGCAACGGCAGTCGCCAGAAAAGCCATTTGTCTACTTTTCACAGCCTGAACATGGAGATCAAGGCTTTGAGGCCGCCTACACCATCCACCAATGAGATGAATCCACATGATGACCCCGGATGGTACGATGCAACTGCAAAAGAGTCAGCAATTCCACATGTGATTATATACAACCCTCGTCTCTGCACATTCTGGACAGTGAAGTCCGCTGCGATGCCCTCCAGGGCGGCGCTCATCTTCTGACGAATCTTGAATGCTAGCCGGATATTTGCACTAATTTGATAAACATCCTTGAGGTTCACATTCGCTCGCTCTGCTCTCGCTTGAGCAAGGGTACTTCGAAAAGGTGCATCCCGCCCTCAGCCTTGCCCACTAAGTGGACACTTCACAAATCATCACCGTCTTCGTGCAAATATGGACACTCCAGACTTTTATGACGACGTAGAACGCTTTCAGATCAAGCGGCACGAGTCTGTCCAAGGATGCCACGTGCGCGGCGCCTTGATCCTAGAGCGACAACTTGTGGAAGAATATCGGGAGGAAGGCAAGGAAGTGCAGCTCAAGATAACGCTACCATCACTCCGACGCATACTGGAATGCGCATCGTCCGGTTGTGATTTGTGCCGCATCTTTGCCGATAACATCCCCGAGCCGTCGTCCAAGCTGTGCTTCATCTCACGAGTGGTCCAACTTGAGAGAAGAATCTCCTTCGTCAGGCATGTGGACTCTTCTGGTAACAAGATTGTCTTGCGGCGGACCGGTAGAGTAGTAGGAGAGTTCAGATTGCCTGAGTATCTTGAGAAATACAACATTATGAGAGAGTCATAGCGCAGACTGTGTGGCAAGGCTGAACGGCGACAGTGTTCACCGGTCAAAGCATTGCTTCGTCTTTAAGCAAATATCGACCAATACTCACAGACAACACTCTGGCCCTCGCTCAACCATTGGCGTCTTGTGGCATGGTTCGGTTCAAGCTACGCCAACGCTAGTCAAGAATCAACATCACAACCTTTTCACACTGGGCGGACTACACGATCACCCAAACATGTATCCGGGATGTCTGCGGTAATGACGACATAGCATGCACATGCTATTCTAGGCTCCTCGCAGCATCAGCCGACTCTTCCTCTCATGGCGACACTAGTGCTGGAAGCCACGCGATGCGTGTCTTAGACTTCCCCTCCAGGGCGACAAACTGGCCTGGCTCCGGTTAGCAATCGATAGAACCGAGATGCGCGACACCGGCGACGAGCCTAGCAGGCGCGCCAAGAACCCGAGATGTCTCACCACGGATTGCTAGCCACTAGGCTCTCTTAGCAGACTCCATTGCGATCAACGCCTGTTTGTATTGTCTCAGTGAAGGGTAACCTCATCGTACGGGACACCTTCACTTTTGCTCTTATTTTGTTGCGGCTTTGTTGATGACCGAACGAGGGCTTGAAATTTCTGTGAGAGTGGAAATATTGCTTCTTTTGGCAAGCACGATGAATTGCGATCGGCTTGTCTGCGGGTCGCGCTTGTCTTTTGTTTTGATTTAAGCTTAGTCGTAAAGTGGACCCGGAAAGACGTTGTGACCCACGAGCCGGTTACACGCATCTCAAGTGTGTACAGTTACGGTGGAGCAACAAATCCACAAGGCTCAAACTGACACTGCTGATCAAATGCGCACGTCGCCAAGTTGACCTGACATCGGAGGGACGTTGATTGAGAGCGCCGCATGCGACGGAAAATCGCAGACGGACACCTACAAAGGGCATCATGTCTCATTGTCATTAGGAAGACAATAGAACATGTCACGACGAACACGATGTGAAATGTACAAATTGTTGCATTAATTTAGCATTAGAATCAATCGTAAATATTTTTGCCATCCAAGCCCGTATTTAACACCCTTCTCCGTGCATCATGCAATCCATTTTTTCATGCCAATAATTTGCCGTGATGAAAGAGAAAAGAAAATTACAGAAGAGCGGCCACGAAACCGGCAGCAGCCAGGACAGCTCCGGAGCCAACGCGGGCAGCGCCAGCGGTGACGGGAACGGAGCTGGTGGGAGCAGCGGAAGTCGTGGGCACGGCGGTGATGGTGCCGACCTCGGTGGTGGAGGGCACGGGAATCAGAGTGGTGGTCTCAGCCGGCGGGGGAGGAGCCGCGGAGGAGGTCGGGTACTCAGACTCAGAGGTGACGGGGCAGACAGTGGTGGTTACAGGCACAACGGTCGTGATGACGGTCGTGGAGTGAGCCGGGCAGTTGGTGACAGTCGGGGCGCACGAGGTGACGGTCAGAGTGGTCGTGGCATAGATGGTGCTGGTGGTCCACTCGGTGGTAGACTCAGAAGCAGAGCTGGAGGTGGGAGCAGCAGTGCTGTACTCGGATGAGCTGGGAGTAGTGGTGGGATACTCGGTCTCAGACACGCTGGTGGTGGTGGTGACAGGGACCTCAGACGTGGTGGAAACCTCAGCAGTGCTGGTCGGGTAGGAGGAGGTGGTAGAGGTGTAAGTAATGCAAGAGCAAGCAGACGAGACGGCGGCAGCGTCGTTGTCGCAGTTCTCATAGTCAGAGGGGATGGTGGTGACCTCGCCAGAGAGATACTTGGGGCAGAACTCCTTGGACTCCTCGATGAAGCGAGTATCGGTCAGCTCACGGTAGCAGTTGTCGGGCTCCTGTTCTGGATGTTAGTCTCGAGGTTTCGCGATACATGTTGCTCCTACAGAGGTCGACTCACGCAGAAGGGGTACTCCCAGGCGCTGGCGACGAGCGCAAAGGCTCCTAAGCTGACAATGGCGGCACGCATCTTGAAGGTGTTGAGTGGTTGACTAGTTGTCTTGTTGAACGAATGTCTGTTGCGAGAAATGCAAGCAAGCGAGTGTCTGTCTTCGACGAGCGAATGTGTATTATTGTCTTCGTGTGTGCTGAAGGAGGAAGAGAGAAAGAATCAGGAAAGCCGATGGGAGGAATCGGCAGATTTTGAATGCAGCCATCAGATGCATCCAGTCACCCATCCCCTCCAACACCTCGAGCCCAACCTGGTCAAGCCCGGGCATCGCTCGGCGCGTGGATGCTGGGGTGCCAGCGAGAATACGAGATTCAACGTTCTATCCAATATTCGGCCCCCTGTTCAGTGGTGTCCGCTCATGACTGTGGCGCCAACAAAGCAGCCGATGGGGGGAGGGATCCCCCTTGTGGTGGCCCTAGTCGATCCTTGTGCTCGACTGGCCAGGTTTGTCCAGTCCGCATGCTTCTTTTTCTGATCATGATGCTTGTCAGGCCGGGGCAGCGAATAGCGTCCACGGATCCCCTGCAGTAGGGCCGCCGGTTGATTTGTGGAGATTGAAGGAGCTGTTTCTGGCTCTCCACTAGCTAGGATTTAGGCTGGGGACTCGAAAGAGAAAATAAAAAATAAAAAATAAAACAGCGTGACTGACTGCTTCTTTCTGGTGACCCATCCTCCAGCGGCACGGCTTCCACGGCACAGGCCCGGCCTAGTTGTAATTATTGTTGACGGATGCATTGTGCGCACAGGGACATGACATCTCGCAGTAATTTCTATACGAGAGGATGTACTGTTTTGGTGGCTATCCGCGAGCCTGGAATCTCTGCTCCTTGTCAGATCATCTCGCATCCATCCCCAGGCTCGGTTGTCGCTGACTCTTCAACCTTGTGCAGGTGCAAACAAGCACCGGAGATCATCCTCCATCCTCCATCCCCGTTTCGCCTTCAGGCTGCTCATCTTCTCGGCAAGAAGACAGCGCGTTGACCGCGCTGCTGATAGGTGAAGAGCCGACACCGGCCAAGACGTAACGTTGAACTGTGGTAGAGGTGTTTGAGATTGACAACGAACCAGCCACGTGTAGACAATGTGATGTCTGTCCTATACCTACCGCTGTGTGCGTACAATGCAACACAGCACACAGGGCAAATTCAGGTGTTTGCTCGGGACTCGAGTGCCAGAGTTGACTCGCTATTACTGCATAGTACAAGACTGTGCAGTGAAGTGTCCCCCTTGCCGACGCGCTCTGAGGAGAAAGGAGGACAAAGCAAAGCAAGGAGGGGGGAGAGGCTAGCGTTACCGGATAGCGAACCATTCCCATTCAGCGTTAGGCCCGTCCTAAAAACGGCCACTGCGCTAGCCATTTGGGCCGCCCAAGCCGCCTGCTTCCATTTGGATAAAGGGTAATTTCGCTTAATCAAAATTGCCCGGCGCCGTTGTCTCCTCTGCTCGCGCTTGCTTGCCAGGCGAGCCAGGGGGAAAAGGACCGTCGCGGAAAGTGGCAAAAGCGCCCAGAGTTGTGACATCGCGAATGCTCAAAATCCGGGTTTTGGGGCCCAAGTTTGGCACCACCCCGTCCGTCATAGCTGCTATGGACTCGAACATGGGTATCTACTGCACTAGCCAGGCCATCGTACGAGCATCACGAACGTCACTTAAAGCCAACCTGGGGAACGGCCAGACCGGCACACTACGGGAAAGAACTTTAATGCGAGCATGACATACCGGGCCAGAAACTTGGCACCCAGTTGAGCCAGTGTTTGCACTCAGAAGGAATTAGTCCACCAGGCTCGTGGCTCCGGCCAGCAAGCTGACGTCAATAACCCGGCATATTATACTCTAGAATAATCCATCTCGGTGCTGTAGCTCTCATGTTAGTGTTGGTAAAAGAAAATTTGACAATGGCTTTCCACCGTTCTAGGTTTATTAGGAAGCTAGGAAGGTAGCAATGGCGTAAAGTAGGCTACACAGAGTTGTAACTGGCCTGGGCAGGTGGCTAAAGACACCCAAGCAACTCGATCCTTCGGGCAAGACACTTGGAGAGGTGTTTTCTCGCTGGCTTGGGCACAATACTTCAAAGTTACAATCACACAGAAGCATACAAAGTTGTGTTTGATGTGTTCTTGAAGGGCGCACTGTCTAGACGTCCACATTATACTGCACTCACCGGATGGGTCCCTTATACTTGCTTCCTAAAATGTACTCAATACCTGGCAAGTTCCATCTCAAAGTCAAACTAGGCCTCGGCTCACGGCATCGAGGAGATTATGAGGCTGATTTTGTGTATCTATGGCACTCTTGGCAGGTCTCGGCGCCACTCCGAGGCTGCTCTATCTCTCAGCTGAAGTCAATATAAGGTCCACTGTTTGCCATATCACTCTGCCACTCATTACGGTTCTTGCTTGGCTGCCGATTCATTTCCTCTCTGCTTTTGTACGAATATCTTCTTATCTCGCCGATCAGACGATATGGCGGCGTCTCTATTGAAATCCACTTCAGTCGTCCGTCACTTTCTTGTCAACAGTGGCGGCCGGACCAATTTCAACCCCAGGCGGCTCTCTAAGTGATTCTTTGTAGCAACATATGACATCCAGATTTGGATGATCCAATACATCCACAGCGCGAGCGTTCTTCAAGTGCACTACACATGGACGTGCGATCGAGCGACCCTTTTCGGTGTGGGAAACGAACCATGAGTCGGCAAAGAAAGCAGTACTATGCCTGTTGCTACAGTCATTCCGCGGAATCGCAAATGAGGTCATTGGAAGTGATCGATGTTTGTATTGTGATATGTTTCCAAAGACATGGCCGCAGAATTGCACCGGGCCCTCCTGAGCAATCATCGACACAGGAATTCCTGGCAATGACATGCCACTCATGATTGAGTTGTTTATGCCTACGTTCCCCTTAAAGAGTCTGCATCGCGTACAGGACTGTCAAATCAAAATTAAACAATGTGCGCCCGATCCCCAACTGTAATCCACCAAAGAGGCTGTTGAGAGGACGGATTTAGTTGCAACAAAAATTCCGCAAGCCTAGGCTCTCCACTTGGAAGAATACTACAGTCTCAACTGCTTAGAAGAGTGCATGTCGCTAAGCGCTCGCCCTTCCATTCGTGTCTCAGCCCGCCTTGCATGAGCCTCACATTCACGAGTGACCAGTCATACGACTGTCGAGCTGTGAGAGGGGAGACGAAGTGCGTTCGAACTATGTCCTCTGCTGTATTGTGATGGGATTCAGGCAAGTTATTATCGGCGAAAGTCCAGCACACACAACCCAGCAGTAGTCACTGTGCCATTGAAGATTGCCAGAGACCATTCCAAGATCACCTTGCGTTTCGTCTGAATGCAGAAATGGCCAGTAATGGCTGCTCCTCAAATGTTTCCAACAGCCTTTTGAAGAGATCCGTCATGCTGAACGAGCAAATATTGTACAACACAGATAATTCCTCGAAAAGATGCTACTTCCTAATCTTCATCGCAACCCGACTCTCTTAGTGTTACAACTCCGCGTGATCGTTAGGCTAGACGAACACTTGAATTATTGGGTCTAATTGCACGATATTAGGATGCGCTAGATCGATGGCGTTCTGCGCTGCGAAGAGAGATTGGCGAGCATCCTGTGGCCGTTATCAACGGGGGCCTAGATCCATTTCTGGGCCACTAATAACGTCTAGACTCCACCACGCAGCACGCTTCTAGTCCTAAACGAGGAAAACGCATTCATGAAAGTCAGCGATACTGCATAGTAGCCCAAAGCCGTGGAAGCGGATCGTGGGCGGGCCGTCCCCACGGGTCCACGAACTCCAGTTTCTCGACACCTCATCCATCCACTCCGCTCGCTCGCATTTCTCATCTTCTCGGTCGAGCTCACCGTCTCTCACCGTGGACCGAGTCGCTGCCGCGAGCTAAAATCATGGCCGCCTCGACGCAGCCATCATCGATTCTCGATGGATGGGGAAGCTCTGTTGGCATCATTGCTCTTTTGTCGTTTGCATCAGTGGCGTATTATCTTATCTCAGCTATCCTAGCATGGCGGCGTCTGAGACATTTTCCAGGGCCATTTTGGGCCTCCTTCTCGTACCTCTGGGGTGTCAAAGCCATGAGTTCCGGTCGCATGCATCAGATACTTCCAGAGGTGCAGAAGAAGTACGGTAGAATAGCCCGCATTGGCCCCAACGAGCTGCTCATATTTGATCCGGAGACATTTTTACATATCAACGGTGTGCGTTCCACCTATGGCCGTGGCGGGTGGTATTCGAGCGTGCGCTTCGATCCGTACGGTCACAGCCTGCTATCGGAACCGGATACAGTCAAACACGACAAGCGCAAAGCCCAGTTGGCAGGCGGATATGCCGGCAAAGGTCGGATGAATCTCGAGAAGGATGTCGATTCCCAGCTTGCTGTCCTAGTCGATCTTCTAAGATCAAAATATGCCACGAAGAACGGAAAGCGTTTGATGGACTTTGGCCGCATAGCACGATACTTCACCATCGACGTCACAACTCTCACTGGGATGGGCGAGCCGTGGGGAGATCTTCCGACAGAGACTGACATGTTTCACTTTCTGGGAGACTCTGATGACTTTGTGCCATTCATGCATTGCATCAGCATGAGCTCTCTGCGAGGCTTCTTCTCATCTACCTTCTTTCTAAAACTGGCAGGGCCTAAGCCGACGGATAAGCAGGGAATGGGTCAATTCTTAGGGTAGGTTTTCTGGCTACTTCAACCTTGCCAGGTTGCTCATAATTTTTCACTTTTAGCGTTGCGAAGAAAGAGGCAGAAAAACGCTTCAAAGTAGGCCCGAGAGCAGATCGTGAGCACGGAGACATGTTGGTAAGTATCCACCGATCTTGAAACTTTTTCATTCTTGAGTTGTATCGAGCAGCTATTGATTCTGCTTAGGATGAATGGATCAAGCAAGGTCTTTCCGCTCGAGAAGCTGAGTTGGAGATCGCTCTTCAAGTTCCCGCTGGATCGGAAACCACGACAACTGCAATCCGAGGCACAATGCTTTATTTGATATCAACCCCTCATGTGTACCATAATTTGAAGAATGAGATCTCTAAAGCCATTCGACAAGGGCGTATATCTAGGCCTATCACAAATGAGGAAGCGAAGAAGCTTCCCTACTTGCAGGTAAGCTTCTTGCCACTCCACGCTGAGTAAAAGACCTTGCTGATGACTTGTAGGCTGTCATCAACGAAGGTCTTCGAATGGTTCCTCCAGCTATCACTGGCTTCTCGAAACGGGTTCCTCCTGAGGGTGATACCATCTGTGGTAGATTTGTCCCCGGTGGCACAGATATATTCGTCAATGTTTGCGCCATGCTCCGAAATAAGGAAGTATTCGGTGAAGACGCCGATACCTTCCGCCCGGCACGCTTTCTCGAGGGCGACGAGGCCAACAGGGCGCAGCTCATTAAGCATGTTGACCTTGTATTCGGCCATGGGCGGTGGATGTGTCCTGGGAAAACGCTTGCTTGGATCGAGCTGAACAAAATTTTTGTTGAGGTATTCGCATAGAGGGTTTCCACATCTGAGTGATTGCTGACAAACTGACAGTTACTAAGGGCCTTTGATTTTCAAATTGTCAACCCAGAGATGCCATGGCGCTGTAGAGGCTTTTCAAGCTTCTTAATTGATCAGTTTTGGGTTCGCGTCACGGAAGCGACCTTAGATTGAAGGGTCCCGAGTACCAGGATTCATGCTCCGAGTTTCAAATGGAAAAGACCTTGCCTAATATCCATCGAGATGTATTTTATAGGATATCATTGAGGCATCTAGACACTGTGACCTCACGGTTAAAAGAGGGTAGAGTACACCTATGCTCTGCTAGATGTACAGGGCCTGAATTGTAAGGGAAGAAATGTCTCGAGATTGTATCACGTAATCAAGTATACGACATACCATGTCATTTGAATTCGTTTGGGCGTACCCTTTTCAATTGTTGATTCGACTTGGGCGCTTAGTTTAACCCAGACACTTCATCAGGATCAGAAGCACAAAACGTAGCGCGGCAGCCAGGGGGTCGGCGGCAATGCGACCACCTGCCTGAACCACTCTACTCTAAATGGCCACCCGCGCAATTTTTGTGGGTGATCGACAGCAGGCATCAGCACCGCCTCACAGAACCACCCATGCGCCACAAAACACTTCAACGATGCAAACATATCCTTCAGATACCCATCTCACTTGAAAGCTCCGGATTCAATGCTACAAGATAGACTCATGATGACAGTGAGAGGATTTAACCCTGTACGTATACTCCGAGACTACTACATTATCACTGCCCATACTTAGAATCGTTGAGGCGATAATCCAGAGGATCACCACAACAGTGGCTACGTGGCTGGCAAACGTGGTCACATTTCCTTACTACCGCTCATATAGGGAGAACACATTGATACCGATTCTCTCAATCATCAGAAGTGTCAAGGAGAACGAAAATGAAGACAAGATCAGCGAACAATTTCACCATTGGCAAGAGACGAAGATACACGAATTTCAGCTCGTTGCGGTTGGTGTAAGTAGCTCTGCAACAATTTACAGGGCTTTTATGGCATGACATGGCATGGCACTGAAATAGAATACGTACAGAGCACATTACTTGCAGCAGCTATCGTCGCATGTTTCTCTTGGCCCGAACGTCCAACTCAGCATTGGATTGGACCAGCGGCATGGTATTCAGGTCTTATACTCAGCATAACAGGTGTTTTCCTTTCGTCGACGATGACGTTCATCTTCGTAACTGCAAAAAGTTCTCCCAAACAGCGGCGCCTGGCTGAAGATCTCTCAATATTTGCTCATGTCATAGTCCCAGATGAGGAGGTCGTTACTAGTACTACGAACACGAACACTACAACAGGACCAGTCAGTAGAGGCCCAACACAGTCCCGTCCCATGAAAATATCAGTTAAACGGAATATGATTTTTGTATGGCAGGCACCAATGGGACTCATGGCCTACTCGGCGATTGGATTTATCATCGGCCTTATGGTTTATGTATCCACACCTCTTTATGACGGGAGCGCTTTCGGTGGAGATGCCAAAGTAAGCCCTACAATACCAAACATCCAACTGGCTTCTTTTGCTGACTTGCTAGGCTGCTATCACATTCCTTGTTTTCTGTGCCACTGCCGCAGCAGTCTTTGTGTGGTGTGCTTTTTGGTCTTACCGGTATGCGCATCTTGATTCGGAATATCATCGTGAATAGGAGTTTAGTAAGTGCTTGATCTAATAACAGCATTGGCACAATTTGAGACCTAGCCTTGACGTACGTCTTGAAAGTGTGCATTTCGGCACTGTGGAGAGTAGTACTATTTAACTTTTACTCCATGACCCCTTGGATTTCGTCCAACCTTTGCAGGCTCATAGCTCCTTGACTTGGCGATCAACTGTCTTCTCGTCGACATGCGCGGTGTCCTTCCCCACTGGAGTCTGCTCTTCTTCGTCAGAATCATGCTCCTGTTCAGCCTGTCTCTTGCTGAGGTCTACGTTCTTCAAGGCGAACATGACTATCAACATCGGCGCTAGTGCTGCAGTCGCTGCGATGGCCAGGGTCTGCTGTGTCTCTCGATATGACAGATCAATGGCCGACCGCATCTCGCTACCCTTAGCGAACTTCTTTGCTGTGACGATAGACTTGTAGATTGCCTGCGCTTGTTTCTTGCCCTCTGCCGGAAGATACTTGGCTAACTTATCGGGGAGTAGGTTGTTCCAAATGGCACCGCCAACGCTGTAAGACCATATTTGTTAGAACAGTAGGAATAGGGAGTGAGGAGTGGATGATCTGACTCACCTTGTGCCAATAGCTGCTCCAAAGTTCATTGCGGCATAGTATACAGCTGTTACGACCGCGACATCTTCCTTCTTGACAATTGCCTGAATAGAGACTTGTGCAGCAGTCTGGTAGAAGGCCCTGCCAACACCAACAAGGACCTTTGCAGTCACGAATGATGGCTCGTTTGCAGGTCCATCACCGTGCATATTTGTGAAGTAAATCTGAAGCCCCTGGCCGAGAATGACAAGCGGTACACCAATGAAAACGAACACCTGAGACTTTTTGAAGTATCTCATAAGGATGCCCACGAAGACCGAGGCAATCTGGAAAGAGACACGGAGACCGTTACTAGAGTATTTAAGATTAGTGACTTTCTTAGTCGATCAAACGGGCTCCTTACTCGATCCTCGAGGCATGGCCAGCGGAGTAGCCTCCAGCAACCTGAAGATAACTGGGAAAGAATAGAGTGAAGCAGGAATAGTGGAAGAAGTCGAGAATCGACAAGATGCACGCGGCAACCACGGTGCGCTCTCTGATCATGCGGAAGGGCACGAATGGCTTGACGGCAAACTTTGCATCCCAAAGGAAGAAGACTCCGACTACTACAACACCGATAACAAGCATGGCGATGAAAGACCCCTCGTGCCATCGGTCACTGTTCTTGGAGCCAGTAAGAGACAGGGGAATGAGTGCAAGACCAAGTCCCACCACGAGGAAGAAGGCTCCTAGGAAATCCAAGTCCGTCCATACAAGGCGGTGCACCCGTTCGAGAAGGGACGCACCAGCGGGTGATGATGCCCAAGCGCTCTTGTTCTTATATCCATTCTTCTTGGCGCGGCGTTGGAGAATAAACATTGAAATGATGAGAGGCGCAGCGCAGAAAGGGAAGATGAGAGCCCACATGCCGTATCCCCATCGCCAGGTCGAGTGCTCCAATACGCTATCGGCAACGATAGTTCCAAGATATAGTGTAGGGATGGCAGTGACAGATTCCGGGAGAGAAGACCAAAGGCCGCGATTGAGTAAGCTTGTGGTGTCAGCGATGAATATCTGCTGCATAATGGTGAAGCCGGTATCACCAATCGATTCGAATATACCGCCCGCCTGGTAGATAAGTCAGCTCTTGTGTCCTGTGCGGCGTTACTACAGGTTACGCTTAGAATACGCACAATGTATGTAGCAATGTTATTGCAAGCAGCATAAAGGACCTGAGATATGATCATAAAGAGAATCGAGAAACTGAAGCCCTCTGCTCGACCGAAAACCTATGGTGGCAGCCGTTTGTAAGCCAATCTCTTTCTGCATTCCTAGGAAGTCTGGTCAAGAGGATACTCACGTTCGATAACTTAGCCATGACTGGATAGGTGACCATATTCATGATAGTGTACACGACGTTCGCCGTAGTTAGCGCTGAATGTTTTGAGAATGCGCTCGTGGCATATGCATCATACACCTTCGTGGAATACTTGACGAAGGACAGGATAAACGTCGCGGCAAATAGACTATCGCCATCTTGTTAACAGGTTGTCGTAGAGTAGACTAGCTCATGCTCTCTAACTTACCCTACAAATGCAGAGATCAAGGCCCTACGAGACCAAGACATCTTGAGAATCTCCGCGTTCGTGGGCTCATGGTGACGGCCATTGACTTGAACCGCTTTCTCAGCATCGGCATCAGATGCCGGGGGAAACGTAGACACATCGGCGCTTGAATGTGATGGCGAGTCTGCCATCTTCGGGAAGTCTTTGGGCCAAGCTGTAAACTTGAACTATCTTTTCGGTAATTCACAATCGATTCCTGAGCAACATGAAGACTCGGACGAAACTCTGCCCTGCTTATAATCCATCCTTCTCACTAAGTACATCCTTGATACCACGCCGTAAACCGAGATCGGTTGATCATCTAGTGCATCTTCCGGTCCCGAGGTCGTCCCACCGACCGAGAAAATCTTTCCACGGCCCTATATCATGTCCTAACACGAGACGTGAATGGCCCATCTAATCTTATCTGATCCGCACAGTTTTGGTGGTCGTGTGGAGTCTCTTAGATAATAAGGCCAACAGGGTCTGGCTATTTCTGCCACAGAAGGACTAGTTGCACCAGTGCCAAGACGCTGGAACGCCGTAGAACGGGTAAACAGGTGGGATGCATTCGTACGCGTTGCGTGAGTGTCCTCATTGAAATCCACTGGGAGAAGTGGACTGACCAAGAGAGTTTGCGACGCTACGCTCTAACGCCCCATTGCTTGTTCCGAGGATGCGGCGGGTGGCATGCCTTCGTTCTATTCTCACAAGCGTGGATATCGGGATGTGGGATTCAGTAGGATTCTGATAACCGATGGCAATGGCCCGAAGTACGGAAGCGCGAAAAACGGCCACTTCTGTTAGTGAGTCAAGGAGGGGCTACAATGCAGGATTGGAGAGCGACTTTCCAGATTTTAGATTCATCGCTCCACCACTCAAAGATCTGACAGAGGTTCCAGAAGCGTGGCTTTCTCCATCTCTTCTGGTGTAACCCTGTCATTCGACATGGCGGCTCTAACTTATGATCCTCATCAACATGCGCAAGCGCCGAACAACCGCCAACAGCTCATCAACACTCCACGAGGGCAATACCTGATTCAAGTGTCTTGGCCTTTGGCCTGGAACTCGGACGGAACAACAAAAGAAGATGGACATGATCCTATACCTGTCATGTGAGTTGCTTTGCCCCAAGGCGGTATTGATGCAAGTGAGGCATGTTCTCCTATCTCTACGCCATCTAGGGAGTGTGCGAAGCTGAGATTTGGTTGCAACATGGTAGCTTTGTAGTTGATGGGAACGCCTACTTCTTCACTGCTGCCGATGTTGTCCATCGCCTCGAAAGCTCTTCTGGCAAGAAGGCCATCGTTGTAGGTGTCGGCTATCCCATCACAGACAATGTCTATGATCCAAGGCGATCGGCAGACCTCACGCCTCCAACCAAGCACCAGGAGCATAGACATCCTATCGGGCGTGATGGACAGCCCATGAAAGACATCACGCTCGGTGAGGCTCAAGGATTCCTCGAAGTCCTGGCAGATACCGTCATGCCTCTTGTGGAGGAGATGTTTCCTACCCTGCCCCTGAAACACTGGCCAAAGGCTTTGTTTGGCCACTCGTACGGAGGGCTCTTCACTTTATTCTCGCTGTTTACGAAGACAGATTTGTTCAGTACGTACATTGCAGCAAGTCCATCTATCTGGTTCAATGACTGCAGTATTGTGCATGAGCAAGAAAAGGCATTTTTGAGAGGGACACGGCGGTTTTCCGACCCAGAAGTCATTAGCAGCTGGGAGGAGAGTGCCGTGTCGAATCCCAGACTGTTCATGATGTTCGGGTCACTGGAGCAGGATGCCGTGCAGAAGCCTGGAGAATCAGACGAAGATTTCGAGCGAAGAAAGAAAGGGGCCTTGGAGCGTAGAATGAGGGACAATGCATTGGAAATGGGCGCTCGCCTCCAAGCAAGCGAGCGGCTTTCTCAGGTGTGGCTATGGGAATTTGAAGGGGAGGATCACGGTGGAGCTTCGGTGTGTGGATTACAGCGCGGAATTGTCAAGCTGCTTGAGGCAAGTGATTGATTAGAGTGTGCAGCCGACGTGACTTGTGTGTTCTCAGCCTTATGCATCCTTGTGTGCGGGCCAGGAGTTCGGGGACGCTGAAGATCGGTGCAGGGCGCATGCTGAGGAGACTTTCATAGGAGACACGTGAGCCAGTAACGCTGTGACATGGACGCAATTTCATATACTTGAATTTGTAGCACTTGTTGAACACGCATCTGTAGACGATCACCACGAATAATAGACATTGGCTTATCATCATTAGATTCTGGTAATTTCATTATGTTGGGAACATATCGTGGGTGAACTTTTCTCAGGTGCTGGGCATTGCAGTACGTGCATACAATGATCAGAACGCTGCATCGCGGGGCAAATTCCGAGCTCCCACTGCGGGGTCACTAAAGTTCATGGGCACACGCGCGCGCGGGCAAGCTCTTGGTCATCAGGAGACACATTTGCCACATTCTTCAGTGACGGAGACGAGACGCCGGGCGGGCCACTTCCACCAGCGACCGGCAACTCTGAAGCTCGTCAGTCAGTCAGTCAGTCAATCAGTCTATGGAGAGTCATAAGCGTACGTCCTCGACGGCTGGTAACGACACACGAGATCAGCCCCCCGCAAAGCAGCTCAGGCCCACGCCGACTGCTGCGCAATGGCCCAGATGCATCTACATCGTCGAGCGGACTAAGCGGCCGCGGACTGCTGAGGAGGACGAAGGCGAAAGGACGAACATTGGCGTGTTCGTCAGCCTAGCCAATGCCAACCGCGAAGTGCGCCGGGAGATGGCGTATTTTGCGAGTGAGTGGGGGACGGATGGTGATGACGACCTAGGAGATCACTCCATCTTCGACGAGGGCAGTGACGAGTACGCGGGAATTCCACCAGCGGAAGGAGAGAAGGTTGGCTCATCGTGGGAGTTCGACGATCAAACCGAGGAAATACATTATGTGGGAGTCACTGCATATCCATTGATTTGGCCAGAAGACTATGTCATGACCGAAGACGAGGAGTCTGAAATCGGCGGCGAGCTGGACGATGAAGGAGACTACGATGATGAGGAGGACGGTGATGGCGAAGAAGATGATCAGCCCTGATGATGAGAGCATAAAGGATGCATGGGCGAAACAGTTTCAATTTTTCCAAACCGAGTAAACGGACGGTTAGAACCAGATTCTCGAAGAATAGGAGGCTTTGGCCGGGGCATCTACTGCCGATGGAAGCCAGCCAAGATGCTGCCAGTAATACATAGAAATTCGTGTTGCCAGGGTAGATGGCATGCCTGAAAGAAAGAACATATTCGTTCACGCTCTTCAGCAAGCGCAAAGCGTCAACCTTGTGTTACTTCAAGGCCCGCTCAGCCCAGCATTCGATTGATAACCTGCACATAACTGATATCTGGTCTGAGGCGTGATTCATGTGCGGCAGGACCTTCTGCTCGCTCAATCTTATGTGTTGCGCTAAATATTCCTCGATCCAGCCCGCCCAAGCCCAGCATGGAAGGTCAACAGGTGAAGAGAGCCAATTGGCGTCACGTGCTGCAGTACTACTCCGACAGAGGCGGAACCACCGCGCGCGCCTTTTCGGCTGGCCGGTAAGTTTGCCTGATGTTAGTTAGCGGGCTGGCGCTGAGCTGGGGGGTGGAGAGGGGGGAAGAGCTGGAACGAGTGCCGATTTTCAGTGGACATTTTCTCTCCCTCTTGTGAGATCCCAATGAATGGATGAACCTGCCAACTCTGAGCGCGGAGGACGGGAATCGTGATGGATATACTCGAGACACAGGTCAGCGACTTGCGGTCGTTCTTGACGCATCCTGCAGCCCCTGGGACACCGGTGACAGGCCCAGCCTACGCCGCAGCAATCTCTCCACGTCATCCCAGCGCCCATCCAGGGTCGCCGCTTTCCGCGCTCGGAGACAATTCCGCGCTGCCATCACCGTTCGCCTCGGGGTCTGGCGCCGCAGTTGCTGCTCCTGGTGCCCGCAACGGCGCCTCCAAACGGAAGCCCGACGGTGACGATGGTTCTGCTAGGGCTCAGAGGTCCAAGAGGAACAGGGTATGTGGATAATTGTCCTGTCTTCGAGTCCTGTCTTGTCTTGATGAGCTCCACTGTTCATCGAAATGTGGCCCGCCTGCTAACTCTGCTTCTCACAATGTGTAGTACATCTCGATCGCGTGGTATGTAACACACTATGCACTGCTTTTCTATGCAGACCCAATAATTGCATTGTTCTTGAGAGGACATGGAGGTGACTCTAGCAATGCTCCTCGAAATCTGCGTCGTTTGCGACTCGACATGATCAATGCTATAGGCAGCGAATGACTGACACCAAACTTCTACAGTAACGAGTGCAAACGTCGGAAGATCAAGTGCAATGGCGAAACCCCATGTCAACGATGCGGCAATCTCAATCTGGCATGTCTGTATGCCCCCAATTGCTGCACCAATAACTTCAAGGACTCCGATGAGTACAAGCAGATGAACGACCATGTCGTCCGTCTACAGGAGCAGGTGGACAGTCTCTTCCAGAGCATGAACGCTTTGAGACAAGAGACTCTACGCCTTGCGCCAATCCAAGACAGGACATTATCGTTTGCCCCCAACACGGCCACCTCCTCGCCATCGCTATCGCTCTCAAACCCTTCATCCGATCGACATGTGTTACCAGCTGCTCGACACCTCCCATCCTTCCGGGGGCCAACAAGCATGGCCTTTACCGTCGATGTTGCAAAGAACACGCTACATAATATGGGATATAGCGGTGAAGGGGTAGAAGACAATGGCGCTGTTGCAGAGGACACACCGTCCGGGTCGCCTTTGATACCTTCTCAGGAGACTGCAAGACCACGTCCAAGGGATCCCCTATGGGACTTTGATAAGGATGAGATGGTCCGTCTGTGCAGGCTTCACGAGGAGGAAGTGGGTATCATGTACCCCGTTGTCGACATTGGCGACGTGATCATACACGCACAAACTCTTGCGTCCTGGATGACTTCATGGGCGGATGCCGCAAAAAGGAGTGGTCTCCCACCCCCGGGCGGACAAGAGGACGGCATTTCGGACATCAAAACACTGGAACTCAAGGTCATCATGTGCTGCGCCCTGGTTGTGGAAGAGCATGGCAATAGTGCAAAGGCCACTCGTCTTTGGGAGAGCATTGAGCCGATTGCCAATCGAATGTTGATGAGTGATCCAAGTGACGTTGTCAATTTGCCGTTCCTAGCTCTCGTCGCAGGCTATAGGTTCCTGTCGAACGAGGAAATTCTATCTTGGAGAGTCATGGGCCAAGTCGCGCGTTTGTGTCTTGAGCTGGGATTGCATCGCCGGGACGGACTTGCCAAGATACCCAAGGAAGGAGATCGGAGAAATGCGGTGAATACGTTCTGGTCGGCGTACGTATTAGACCGGCGATGGAGCTTCGGCACAGGTTTTCCGTTTGTCGTCCATGACGACAAGATCGATCCCAAGTTACCTCATCCTGTAAGCATATGGTCTCCGGCACGCTGTATTCACTTGTCACTAACACATGATAGTATGGGCATCCGTACCTGATCGCCATGATCACCTATTCGAAGCTGGGCGCAAAGATCTGGAAATTGGTAGATTATTTCGAACCTACTGTGATAAGGGAACTCAAATCCGAAGATTTTGAGGCACTAGATCGCGAGATAACTGAATGGTACGAATCAGTACCTGAGGAGGTCCGAATCAGCAATCTAAACACGGGTATACCTCTGCCGTCTACACCATCTTACAATCTTGAGCGCCTTCAGATCTGGACGAGACTGCGACTGAATCAGGTAAGATGCGAAGTTCCACTACAAGAGGCTGTGGGTATCCCTCGAAGATATGCTAACATTGGCTTTGCCGAAAGATTCGAATCTGGCTTTTAACTCCGGTCCTTCATTCGGCCAGCAGTATTGTTCTGAACAAGAATCTAGCCCAACGAGCTGTGGACCATGCCAAAGAAACAATTCGTTATTTGGCTAGACTGAACCAGACGAGCAATATGTACCGGCGCATCCAGGTCTTTTACCATCAATTCTTGACGTCAGCTATCGCAGTACTATTTCTCGCCAGCACGCACGCACCGTTGCTATTTAGCGCAACATGCCGCGAAGAGTTCTACATGGCCCTGGAGCTCGTGAAGGATATGTCCGCCAAAAGTTGGGTGTCGCAGCGTTTGTGGCGAACGATCAAGAGCTTGAAGAGCTATGCCCCGCGCTTGGGGCTTCAAAGGGATGATCCGCGTTCGAGGGAGAACGCTGCCATGGCGATGGCGGGCATGGCAGGTGGAAATAGCCGCCAGAGCAACGGTACTCCAACACCAAGCCCTGGAATGGCGATGCCGTCGCCATACAATCCACCCTCGAGAACCAGCAGTCTGGCCCCACCACCAGTTCCCAGCAGCTCCTCATCACCCACGCCAAATAAGCTGTCACTGCAGGACGATGAGAACAATGGCCTGAGGCTACAAAGCGAAATGAGCAAGATATTCGAAGGATACATGGGCATGGGCAATATACCTGCGCCGCCGGATAGCCATGGGTCACATGCACCTTGGGCAAATGGCCTGACAAGCCCAGGTGATAGACCTCTGCTCACCCCAGGGACCGATGGGGTCTACCAACAGCTGAAAGAAATGTTTTGATGGGCCTGGTTCAGATGTACATAAAGCAGCTGTCTGGTTGGCGTCTAGATCCGATGTGATTTCCATCGAGGCCGTCCCTGACAAACCGTACCGCGTGTTCCTTGATATGCATGCTAATCCATTGGGGTCTACATTCTGGAGATAGCCTCTATGGTGTAATAACCTTTTTTGAATATCACAAAGCCTACATGACCATTCGTCAGAGCTGATCACTGGTGATTTTCGAGGTTATGGGGCGCGAAGGATCCGCTTAGCGCCCCATAGCACCCAATCGGCAGATCAACTCACTAACAGCTAACGACGTTAGGACGGTTAGACGGAGGCGATCCTTCGAAAGGCACAAAGACAGCTCCTGAGTTCTGATGACTGTGTCTGATCTTCATACAAGCCATATCAACCTCGTAAGACTACTGCTTCACTGTCTATTTTCTTTCTCTCATTTCACAAACCTCAAATATTCGTTGTATGAGAGTCATACCAGACTTGAATCTCACCGGCAATCTTCATCCTACCGAGGTAGTTCCGTTGGCCCAAATGCACGATGTCTACGCCGCGGACGGCTGTGCTTCAACAACACTTTGCTTCGTCAAGTAGTGCAGCACGACCTATCTTTACGAGCCTCAATGGCGATACTTCCTGGCTAATGTCGTTTCCCCGGCCAGCAAATGAAAGGGCGAGCTCCGGCAAGGCCTATTTCCACATCGTGACAGATCCCTGGCTGGCCGGCGAGACTGTCGCAGTCCATCCTTGGGTAATGACGATTAACAGCACAATATCAGCTGCAGTACAGAATGGCACTGCAGTGGAACATCTTGTCCGTGAGATCGAGGACGCGGCAGCGGCTGCCGGTGTTGTCAAATCTCCAAAGCCTGTCAACGACGAACCTGGCGTTGATGCTATCTTTTTGAGCATCTACCTCGCCGATCACCTGCATGAGCCGACTCTACGTACCTTTGACAAGCGCATACCGATCGTCACTTCGCCCGAGACGGCTAACATCATCAAGCCATGGGGCTATTTTGAATCTGTCACCACGACTGGCGACCTCGACCCGGCGGCTCCTCAAGACTGGCCATCGCTTCATCCCGGTGGGCCTCTACCTTCATGGCTTAATGCCTTTCGACTCAATGGTCACCATGAGTATAACTTTGCATACATTTTACTTTGGACTCCTGGTGAGGGCGATATTTTGGTGCATGAGGCAATCATGTACTCGCCCCACGGCATCAAAGATGATCAGCCTGCAGCGCATGCCTTCTCCAGACTGTGTCTGCAAGAGAGCTCTCACATCTCTGTCCTAGCCATTCTCCATGGACTTAAAGAAAGTTTCACGGCTGCTGGTCGCAATACATTAGGTGTTGCAGGAGGTCTAGCGTTAGAGAGTGCTCTACGACCGCGGTATTGGATCAAATCCCATGATGCCGTCGTGAAATATACCGGTCTAATTGGTCGGCTAACGAGAGACTATTCCCGGACAATCATGGATGGCCTAAAGCTGCGAGAGAGTGAAAAGAAGCCGCCATCGGATAAGGCACAAGAAAATGAAGGTCGGAACCCAAATTTTGTGGAGGTTGAGAACGGGCATTCCTTTGTTCTCGGGTGATCGGCTAGAACCATGGTTGGCGTTTGAGGTGTGACTTTGATCAGATATTTCTCTGTACATGGAGTAGATGGCGTTTGTGTTTCTTCCTAGACGTTGGATATATTTGATGTTTTCAATGTGTAGATACATCTGTAACATTTAGCATTTGCTTGATGAGGATCGGGGATCCAAGCAACAAAAGATCGAACGATGGGTCCTAAACCACATCAAGTTATCATAAATATAGGCTATAAGATGCCTGATTTGGCTGTTCAGAAGTGAGAAAAGACCGATAACTTTGCGGGCTATAAACCGACTTCCATCCTTTCCTTACCGACAATCCGACGCCATGAACCATGCTCTAAACCACTCGCCCCAAAATCGCCGATGTAAATCTATCGGTGATCATCTTTAGAGCAGTGTAGCACTCAGAACAAATCATAGTTACTTGTCGAGCACAATGATGGGTTTCTCATGAGAATGTCGCGCTATAAATACGACCTATACATTCACCGAACCCAACCTTGTTGCCATCCTCACCACAGGAGCCCCGTAAAGTGATTGTGTCTCCATCTTTCAAGAATGTCCTTACGTCCATCCCGTACAGCATGATATCCTTCTTGCCACTCTCGCTCAACTCGAGAAAGCTCCCTTTGTCGTTGGTTCCTGGCCCACTGATGGTGCCCGATCCTAGCATATCCCCAGTCCTTAGCGGGCATCCACCAAGGCTGTGATGAGCGATCATCTGAGGAAACGACCACATTAGATGCTTGGAGCTCGTTTGTGATATTGTGGTCGTATCGCCTTCTGGGGCTAGAGCAATCATGTTAGCGACGGACTATGTCCACGAGCTCGAGAGCTTACTTGTTAGATCAACAGCTAATTTAATATCTAGAACGTTATCCGCTCTCTGTTCTTTGAGATAATCTTGTAATGGAGTCTTGTTCTCGATTGCTGCAGTGCGGAAAGGCTCCAGCGCATCGGCTAGAACAACCCATGGACTGATCGTTGATGCAAAGTTCTTCCCGTTGAACGGACCAAGAGGAACATATTCCCACATCTGGATATCGCGCGCGCTCCAGTCATTGAGCAGAACATAGCCAAATATGTGGTCCTCAGCCTCATCGACTGGGATGGACTGACCAAGGTCGTTTGGTGTGCAGATCAAGCAGCCCAGCTCCAGCTCAATGTCAAGCCTACGAGACGGCGCTGTGATCGGTTGCTTGGGCTCGGCTTTCGGATCCAGCAGGATTTGCCCAACAGGTCGATAGATGGGGGTTCGTGACACCACAATACTGGAAGCGCGGCCATGATACCCCACAGGCAAATGTGTATAATTGGGCTGCAAAGCGTTTTCAGGGCCACGGAACATTACTCCGACAGAGTAGGCATGATGATAACCCGCATAGAAGTCGGTGTAATCGCCAATTGCCATGGGAAGATGCAACTTAACTGCTCGTTGAGGCAACAATGCCTCCTCTCGGAGCTCCGCATTGTCCCTCAGGAACTCGGGGTATTCGGCATCAGTCGCTAGCAGCTTCTGAATGGTCCGTCTGACTTCACGGTGCACCTCGCGTCCAAGAGACGCGAAATGATTCAGAGTGGGCTCGGCGAAGACATATTCTTGGCCGTTGAGTACGGGAAACACATTTGTGAAGTCCGGATGCGACGAGAGGGCCTTCAGGTCTAGAACATGGGAACCGATGGCGACGGCAACACGCCGAGAAGAGTCCGACTGTGTGGTAATGATGCCGAAAGGAATGTTGGCGAGTGAAAAGTCGCTCAAAGGGTCCACGTCTGGAACCCAAGTTGACGACATATCGAATAGAGACTCGAGTCTATTCTTGCCGGAGTCAAGTGTTGTGTCTACGGAAATTGAGTAGAATATCTCAAATGAAGAAAACGGTCGGCTCTTGACGTTCAGAGCTGGTGGGGCAACACCGACAGAAGCCGAAGCGGTCCCGCCCAGCGCTTGGATTCCGCCTCTACACGGCCGGTCGGGCCAGTCCGTGCACTATGTCATAGGAGGTGATTTGATCTAGTGATACTATGTGATATATTTTGCCGTGGTCGTGCTTCAATACATCGTAAAATGACGGCATATGTCCACTGGCGATTTGACTATTTGCTTGATACTGTCCAGATCATCAAACACACTTATAACGTATGCTACCAGTCATATATCTATGGTTGGCCATCGAAACCTTTGACTTAGGTCGTGAGCGCCATTGAAGGGGCCGAAATCCGTGTCATTGCTTTTATCCGGTTTACGTTCTAAAGAGCAGCTCCCAGAGGTAGCTTACTCATGTCCGTTGCCTTTTCTAGCATTATATATCATGAAATAAATAAGATGGTCTTCACCACCATATTTGGAGCTGTACACGGTGGTGCGTTCGATCTCACGAAATCCTAGCTGCTCATAAAGCAAGCGACCAGCCTCATAAGCCATGATATAAACATCAATTCCCAGCTCGTCAGCTTTCCCGACAACTGCCGTAACCAGGGCTCTTCCAATGCCCTTTTTCTGGTATTCTGGGTGGACAGCAAGATACCGGAGTCCTGTGAATCGTGCGTCAACACTCTTGTGAACGTTATCTCTGCCATTAGCACTTACTAATATATACACCCTCGGACAGGATTCGTTTCTGAATCTCAAATGCTTCATCCTCCGAGTCATTGTCTTTGGGTTGGTGCCAAGCCTTGTCCGAGATCTCTTGGATGCGTTTCTTCTCGTCAGGAGTCACGCCTGGGGTCTGTATCTCAGGCCAGACCGGTTTGCCATCGGGAGCCGTTATGTGTTCTACGGGCAAAGCCAATCGAAGGTACCCCACCAAGGTGCCAGTGTCCGGATCGACAGCTTTCAAGTGGCGGAGAATGTCTCGTCTGTGGAGTAGATCATTCATGACTCGATCCGCCTCCTGTGTAATGAGATAGTCGAGCGTAATGCTGTCGTCCCAAGAGAGACGCCAATTTTTGTCTTCCCAAAAGGCTGACAAGTTATTGCGGGCAATAGCTGGGGCATCGGCAAGATTGACAGGTTCAATCTTCCATATCTTACGGCTAGACATTGTCAAACAGAAGTTTAGAAGTCTATTTACGCGAGTATTGTAGAGTTGGTCAGGAAACGAAAAGGTTGGTGATTGAAGAAGGAGGTCTATTCAAATATCTCAAACCTCACTCTTCTATTTACCGAACCTCAAAGACCACACTTTCCTTGCAGCTGATTGGAAATCTATTGTTCGTCATTCTGAGACAGATAGGCCAATATTCCATAGCTTCCTGAACTTTGGTTATCGAGTGTTTGGATTTAAGATGCAGAACGCTAAGCAGGCAGATGTGGTCCCTCATTGGCTATTGAGCCGGGAAGACACGGTGGTCATTGTTCGAGACGAAGGAAGCGGAACAATGACTCGAATTGGCTCAATCATTGGTTGACACCTATAGAGTCTTCCATAATACAGAAACCTGATCTGGTCATCCTTGAAGAAGAGTTTCGAAAACAAGCGCTCAAAGACTAGAGTGTTGCGCTTGTCGTTTACTCAACTGCAGGGTGTGGGCAATCACAGTTCAATGAAACGAGATATAGTGACGCGCCTATATAACTATTAACATAGAGGCATACTAACATTGAATGTAATAATTGAAAGATAAGATAGATTTGGTGGATATTAAGGGGTCGTGGAATATTGTGAGACTATTGACAACCTTGAGCATGATTAACCTTGTGCATCATTGTTAGCTAGATTAGTGCTGTCATGTTCTATCAGTCCCTAAGTCCAATTTAACATTGAAGGAGTCTCAACCATAACCCCCTTTTTCAATGCTAGATATTGCACCTCTCATGGCCCCTCACTCGGATCTATGCCGAGTGAAGTCTGCATTTGCTTGAAGACTCTTTGGTACACTCTCATATATGAGTTATTATACAGTATCGATACTTATCACTAGTAATTATATGTTATACATCTCTGACGATACGTTTTTATTACACGACTTTCAAAGCCAAAAAGTCTCGTCTGTTGAAATAACTCCAGGGCATCAAATTGGGCTGGCCGTCAAAAATGAAGACTTCTGAGTTCCAAATAAGGAAGCACACGGCCGAGCCCAATCAAACGAAAACGCCGCAGATTTTAGTAAACTCCTTTTCTAGAGCGCCCGGCTCTATCTTAGCAGCGTCCTGCACCGCTAACTTTGCCTCACGCATCAGTTCACTCTGGGCACGCACAACACTGCGAGGCGGCAGCAGCCAGAAAGCCACCTCCGTCCTTTAGGCTCGCATGGTATCTATGCGGCCCTGTAGCTCTTCCCATAGGTCACGGTTGGCGACGTGACCCTTCTTCGTCCGCCACCGCCGTCGAACCCAGGTTGGAACCCATCGAGTAGCTCCGAACACAATGTACTCCAGATGCGTCACCACGACCACGCGTCGCCAGCCTTCGGTATGCAGTTGCGAAATCCGAGGGCGGCGATTACTGCCCGCAGCTTGGCACGGTTGCTTGTGTGCATAATGGGGCCGTCATTACGGGGACCTTGCCGCTCGAGGCGGAAGGCAATCTTGCCCGTGATCTAAGTTGGACCTTTACTTTTCTTGAGAAATGGCATAGTCGTGCCGGTGGAGCCTATCATACGACTCGAGGCACCTTTGTACAAGAAACTGGCTCCAGCAGTAGGGGATCCTGCGTAAGGGGCATGGCTGCCATTGTTGATGCAAGATCCGTCAACTACAAGCAGCATCTCACGGCTGTTGTAGCGATTGACGAGGCGTGGGTGGGACGATAGGGCGGTGACAGTCTGCAGCGGGAAGTGTGCCTCCGGTGTAAGTGATGGATCGGCCGGGTGAAAGACTCTTGCGGGATTGACGCGAGTGTGCCTGCCTAGGCGCCGTGCCGCGGCTCCGGGTCCTGCGAGTCTGGGACGAGCAGAATGGCCTTGGAAAGATTCGAAGATATTGCCAGTTTCAACGTCTAAGTCGGCGGCAGCCAAAGAGGCCCCCGTTTTGGTAGCGTGGTTCGTTCATTGGCTGCCGATCTTGGTGCGGTGTCACCCGGCCCCATGTGGGTGGCCACCACCCGCAACGTTAACAATGCAGGCGTCACTGCTTGCCCAACAAGCGAGTCAGTCAGATTTCTGAGAAGAGAGAGAGAACCCAAGGAAAATGTGAAGTGGGAGCCCGGCCCAGCCTGGTCAGAGACGGTGGCCCGTGCACGGCTGGAAGGATTGTCTCCCGGGTGGCCGGGGACGACAGGCACTAAACTGCTTTAGCGACATGACACAACGCCGCGCTCTCATCAAGTAACGCATTTTCATCATAGTCTTTTGGATATGGATGAAAAATCAAAGAAGTGCTTTGATTATTTGGTATTCAAGTTCATATATACAAAAGGTAAGAGATCACATGCGCACATCAGTCTTTTCCACAGCGACCTTAAGTCGAGGACTGAATTTTGCTTGAGTCTTGGTGGTCGAAGATTCAGTGGTACATGAACACCCTGTGCTCCATCTTACATCGGATTCGTCGCATCGCGGGTGGCTTCACGCCACACTAGCCTAGAATGGCTTAGAACTCGATGTCAAGCTGCACGGTTTGGGGACGTTCGAAGGTTCCATCATGAAATGATTCGTTTTGGTGTGAACTTGCGGACTTATATTCAATCGAATCTATTCGCTGCTGGAGCCGTTTGCATGAGTTGCTTTGAAATCGTTTGCAGGCTATAAATTGCGGTTTCTCCCCAGCTGTTTCCCCCCTTCGTCGAGTCTCGTCTTATCATTCTGGACTAACATATGTAACCGAAATGGGAGAACACACAACTCGTGACGCTCCAGCTCCCACTCCTGGAGACCATGAACTCCATGAAGTCCAGGACATCAACAAGAGAATGACTGAGAATACGGAAAACGACGACATGATGTCGCCCCCTCTATCAGCTGCTATTCCTGTTCTGCCACCAACCCCTGCTATCATCGACACGACTACCAACAATCGCACTACCCTAGATGACGGCACCGACAGTCCATCAGCCGTGGAGAGCAAAAGAAGCACACTCCAAATCGCCATCATCATGACGTGTCTCTGCTCTAGCATCTTTGTTTCCGCCCTCGACATTACCATTGTTACGACATCTCTCCCTAGTATCGCCGGCCACTTCCGTTCCGCGACCGCTTACACATGGGTGGGAAGCTCCTACACACTCGCGTATACATCGATGACCCCTAACTGGGGCAAAGTGTCGGATATATGGGGACGGAAACCCGTACTGCTTCTGGCTGTCCTCGTCTTCTTTGCAGGGAGCTTGATGTGTGCGGTCGTAAATGGCATCGGAGCGTTTCTCGCTGGAAGAGCTATCCAGGGAGCTGGCGCTGCAGGTCTAGCGACCATGGTCAACATATGTATCAGCGACTTGTTCTCATTACGGGACAGGGGCTTGTACTTTGGGTTGACCTCTGTCGTGTGGGCTTTCGCCTCAGCTGTAGGCCCGGTGCTCGGTGGGCTCTTCACCCAGAAGCTATCGTGAGTATTGGTGACTGCAAGAATCGGTAGTAAGAAGCTAATGGGAATCTTCTCTGAAAGTTGGAGATGGTGCTTTTGGATTAATTGTGAGTCCTCACTACCTTGGAATAGGATATATCAATCTAACAAGACACAGTGCCCATCACTGGCGCCGTCTTTGTCCTATTACTCTTCACCCTTCATCTCGACAGCCCTCGTACCCCATTCCCCAAAGGCATAAAGGCCATCGATTGGTCTGGGAGTTTCCTGCTTATTGGCGGAACAGTTATGCTGTTGCTCGGGCTTACCTTCGGCGGTGTAATGCACCCGTGGGATTCTGCAATAGTAGTCTGCTTAATCGTCTTCGGTGTCATTACACTCGCTATGTTCTTGTTCAACGAATGGAGAATCGCAAGTCATGCAATCATTCCTCTTCGGCTGTTTCGAAATCGATCTAATATTGCCTGCTTCGCCATGTGCTTCTGCCATGGTTATGTCTTTGTTGCAGTTGCATATTACCTCCCACTCTACTTCCAAGCGGTATTGGGAGCCGGACCTCTACTATCTGGTGTTTACCTGCTGCCTTATGTTCTGTCTATATCTATCGTTGCTGCCATGACGGGGGTGTACATACAGCAAACCGGCAAGTACATCCTCACAGTGTACATTGGCCTGCCAATCACGATACTCGGGATAGGGCTGCTTATTGACATCGACGTTCACGTTGATTGGGCCAAGCTTGTGACCTTTCAGATCATTGCCGGCACTGGCATCGGCATGAACTTCGAGGCGCCTCTGCTTGCCATGCAAGCCGCCATTGACGTCAAGGATATGGCCACCGGGACTGCCACGTTTGGATTCTTTCGGACCTTGTCTACAGCAGTCTCGGTTGTCATTGGCGGCGTGGTCTTTCAGAACCAAATGGCAAATCAGGCGCCGGAGCTCGCAGCGAGTATTGGCCCTGAGCTTGCTGGTGAGCTCTCTGGTGGAGACGCGGCGGCGAGCATTGGCCTCATCGATACACTCTCTCCCTCACAGAAGGTGGTCGTGCAACAGGCACTCAATAGATCTCTCAGAGATATGTGGATCATGGTCAGTCTTCACCTTACTCGAATTAGGTAATATCTCTAACTCGATAGTAGTATGTTGCATTTGCAGCCCTAGCTTTATTTGCGGGCTGTTTTATTGCCGTCCATACCCTTAGTAGACACAATCCTGCTGCTGTTGTCGGACTGGTAGATCAACCCAGGGACTCAACTCAGAACAGGGCAGATTCAGCAGCTGTTAGGGATGCAACCGTTCCAGAAACGGCGGATACTGTTCCGCCATCTAGGGATGGGTGACTGATGGTCATGGGCTTACCCCCTAGAAGTTATTCATAGAAAGCGTTTCGCGAAATAAGTAGTATCATGTGTGTGGCTTCCACTTTCCCTCACACCAATCCCAAAATTTCTTCGCAGCACCCATATCCACAGCTTCTTGGATATCAGGCCGTGGATTTGTCGTCCGGATGCGTCCCCAGGGCAAGATGTATGCTCCGTTTGTTTCCATTGTAATCTCGGGCGAGAAAGCCGCGTACAGCATCGTGTACACTCCATACCTGACATCGTACAACACGAGGCGCCTGAGGACCTCCCGAGTGATAGGGCCTAGGTATCGAAAGACCTCAGTGTTGAGCTGACCTGGGTTTTGCGCAACGCTGATGACTCCATCACTGCCATAACGCGCGGCACCTTCAATGGCCAGGAACCAGTTGCCGCACTTCGAGGCCGAATAGTCATGCAAAAAGTTCTGCGTTTCACCAGAGTCTATCACGTCGAAGTCAATGCCGCCCTTGGGTGCATTGGTCTCGACGAGAATAGAGGCGCTCCAAACGACCCGCACTGAGTTTGGCGGAGCAATTGCCGCCGCGGACTTGAGATGGCCCAAAAGCTCCTGTGTGAACAGCAACGGCGCGACGCAATTGACACCAATGTGTGATTCAAGACCTTGCTTGGTCTTCGAGCCAACCGGCACGCCGCCGACCCCAGCATTGTTGAAAAGGACGTCTAATCGGGTTTCCTGGGCCGCAAAAGCAGCTGCCGACGTCTTGACTGCTTCCAGGTCATCAAGGTCGAGGTGCAAGTACTTCAGCACTGCTGGTGTTGCAGGTGCGGGAACTTTGGATGTGATCTCTTCAATGGCTTGCTCCGCACGCTCCTTGGACCGACTGGCCATGTAGATCGTGGCCCCGGTAGGGTAGAGAAACTCGATCAAAGCTTTACCCAGGCCTGAGTTCCCGCCAGTAACAATGAACACTTTCCCCGATTGATTCGGGACATCTTTATCGGTGAATGCCGGCGAGGGCGGTAGCCACTGCGCGAAGAGACTGCGGAGCATTGTATTCATGGGAAGTTGCTAATTTATCCGGCCATGTTGTGATGAGGCCTCAGTTAGCATTCGCAATGTTGTGGCAAATTTTTAGCGCCTGTAGCTCGCCCCAACAGAAACAATCCTTGTGCTTTGACCTGGAGGTTGTTGATTGGTTTAAGTGAGACATGCAGGCACCCGCCCCTCCTTCACCACTACCATGAGAGAGCCTCGACTTCTAATCATACTAGACATGTTCTATAATCCTCGTACTGCTAACGCCTACAATACGTTTAAAGATGGGATGTATTAGCTTACTCAACAGAACAAATGTCTCGGTTCTTATGAAGAGAGGACTTTGGAGGTACGATTGAATCACGCCGAATGCAGCCTAGTGATCGTCTCTAATTTCTCATTAAAGGCCAAAGATAAGTATGTCCTGAAAGTCCGACAGATATAAGTGGGCATCGTTGAATTTTGGCCGAGAAGCGCGGCCAGAAGTCCAGAAGCCAACCCCCACGGAACATTTGGCTGATTATCTACCACAGGAGACTATTATTGGATATCTATATGGCCTGGTATCCTAGAAGTCGATAGCTATCTAGGCTGACGCGTCAGTAAACATGGGCAATTTGATTGCAGCCCGTGAACCCGGAATGAGCCATATCGGTGCTGTTATTGAACAATCATGGACCGATCGAACTTTGAAGTCATCTATTGCCAATTATTATAGGAGTTACAAGTATGTAGGAGTGATCATGGGGTTCTGGTATCTACTCCAGTAAGAATCAACATCCTGGCAATATCCCGGACGACAGGAGTACGGCACCCATATTGGCCCAATCTTGAAAGTATGACTGCCTGTATGGTTTATTCTTCACCCCTGATCCTGGTTGGGCTATTGGAAGTTGTCCCGCTGCTATCAACGCCAGCGCTTTTTGGCAGAATGGGACCGCGCGGTAACGGGCGGTCATGAGCCGCCCGCCAGAATATATCAGCAATCCCTCAGCATCCTGTTTTCCCAAGTCGAAAGCAATAGTGCGTCTCTTCTAGGAAAATGCGGCTATAATGTAACCATTTTAAGGTTAAGTGCAGATAAGGTGTTGCCCCCTTCGGTGTCCGGATATTAACCCCTATATAACCAGCCACTGGCGGGCTTAAAATATTCTCCGATAATATTGCCTTATCTACCCACGGCCTTGGGATCACGTCACACTAATACCAGCATCCAAATAATTGCTCACTTTTCAAGCTGCCAGGGTGATCCAGGTATCGGTTAAGTCTGCCGGCATTGCGGCGTACCAGAAGATATATAAATAAGTATAAGATGGTGTCCAGTAGCGAACGTCAGGTCCTTCTTGTATGGTAATTGATCTGGTAACGAGTCTGCCTACAACCGATTGTAAGTGTTATAGATCATTCTCGATTTGATTCTGTATTCGATGATTGTGCCGATTTCTCTACTAGCCTTAACGGCTAGTTTCTTGCCCAGCATCCGGGCATGGCGAGGGACGACCAAAACGTCGTGGGATTGGTACGAGTTCCTGGAAATATTATCAGTTGACACGTGAGACGATGAATAGTAACAAATATCACAGTTGCAAACCAGCTTGTGCATGGTCAAACATTCTCAAGAATGCCGGTGCTACGTTCGTTAACTCCCTCTAGATTTACCAGAGTCAAAAACGGCGCTAATGAAGCAATTCTAGTGGAAGTGTTAGAGTGTGTAACAAGGACGATAACACTCTCAGCAATGGGGGGACTGCACAAACTTCCTGTGCAAGCAGCAACCCCGGAAACGCATATCTATGCTCTAACTATCAGCCGCAACCCCTCAGCGATGATCTATCCCTAGGATTTGCGATCATGAAGGATGGTCGGGACTGCTGTGAGTGCTTTGAGCTTACCTGGCTCGATGGCCCCGCGGCAGGTAAACACATGCAAGTGCAGATGATCAATGAAGGTGGAGATCCAACGGATATCATCATTGTCACTCCTGGAGGAGGTATTGGCCCCAATATAAAGGGATGTGACAGCCAGTATGGCTTTTCGAATTATGACTGGTAATTAACGCTTATGTCCACGTTTTGCTCGCCCATCACCTGCATACTAACACAATAATTAGGGGCCGCCAGTACGGCGGTATCGAATCTCGAGACGGCTGCGAAAAGTTGCCTTCAAGGCTGCAAGGTGGCTGCTATTGGAGATACAATTGGGCTCGTGGCGATCTTAACGGCTGGCCAGTTGAAGTCAGGAACATCACATGTCCAGCTCAGCTAAAGAGTATTTCGGGTTGTGATGGAGGCGACAACGCCAATGAGGGCAAGATCAAGCACCGTTCTGCCCCTATGGTAGTTTTGTAGAACGTTTCGAATGATGGTAACATCTTCTTCTTGAATCGCTTATCTGGGATAGACGCTGTTCAATGAGGTAGTTGTGGGTAGGTACACGCAGATATCTAATGAACCGTTTTAATCGATAGTGTATTATGCTTCGAAGGCAGGTCATATTTCAAATATGGCAACTGAGATTCCCGGTCAATCGACATAGACCTCTACTTCAGAGCACACTAGAATTGTTGGCCTCCCCATGCTTATCGTATCTGCGGTGGCTAATGCTCCTATCAAAAAGCATTGCATTAGGTGGAATCATACCACAGGGCTTGTAAGCCTTTCAGGCTATCCTCCGTGTCCCCAAACCAGGTGAGTGGTGACACGTCCTTATTCAATACTATGCAAGCTCAGAAAACAGTACCCTTGGTCTGTTTGCCTTCTCTCTCCTCCAATTTCTTGACGTTGATGTTCCGCCACAAAAACAGGCAACCCAAGCAGAGAGGAATGAACGCCACACCAGTGATGACCATTTTCCTCTGAACATCTTGGTAGGCTTCAATGATTGCGGTACGGATGGGGCTTCCCATGGGGTATGACAGCTGCACAGTGATGTCTCCGTAAATTGTGGCTGTAAGGTTCTTGCTGTCATCAGGGAGGGCCTTGTAAAGCTGTTCGGGAAATATATTGGTCCAGAGCGCGCCAGAAACCGCGAAGCCGATGGCGGCACCAATAGAACCAAACAGACCCCACATGGCAAGGCCAACAGCAATCTCCTGATGGCTGACAGAAGCCATAATCGCAAGCTGCGCTGTGAGAGCCCAGACACCGCTGTAAATGCCATTGAAGAGCTGACACATGACCAGATATCCAGTTTTCGATTCAGGGGTACGAAAGTGGATTAGGAGAGCTGTGCCAAGAACGGCAAACGGAATAACAGCAATTGATGGCCATTTGAATGTGCCAGTATAACGGACGATACTAAGAGCAGTATGTTAAGAACCGTCTGAGGAACTAGAAAAGATGTGACTTACAGTCCGACGAAAGGGCTAATGAACGACGACATGAGTGAGAAAGAGTTGAGCACATATCCAGAGATGGTGATACTCTCGTTATGAACCACCTGCAGATAAGATCCGTAATATGTGTCCCAGCAGCTACGTGGAACTTCTGTTAATAGACTGGAGGAATCAGACATTTTGGTCGTAACTCACAAGATGGAAATGAACATAATGCCGTAGACAAGACATGATCCAAGAATGGTGGGATCCTTAAGAAACCTGAAAGGGATAAAAGGCACGGTGGCGAAGTATCGCTCCCAGAATCCAAAAGCGACGAGAAGTAGAAATCCAAGAATGATCATCGCAATGATGTATCCGGTCTTCCAGCCGTTGGGAGCATATGACACCAGGCTGAAAGGCAATAGCAGCAAAGACCATCCTGCCACTGTGAGGAACATGCCGACGACTATTTGGCATTGTAATCAGCATGAATTTCCCTACTGTCCTTCGGAGCCCTGGTTGACCTACCATCAAATTGAACGAAATAGTACTTGAATGATTCCCAGGCACTGCGAGTATGTGGTCTTGGAGGAAAGATACCTTGCCGAACAGCCTTCCGTTTGCTAAAGATAAACACAAGCATGACGGGTATGCAGAAAAAGACTAGAATGATCAAGAAGGCTCCGAAAGCCCACCGAAAGTTAACGTTGTCATAGAACAGCTCCGCGATCCGAGGACCGGCAAATGTCGTAGCGATGAGGGGGGTATTGTTGATGCCAAACAAAATCAACCGGTTCCTCAAAGAGGTGATATCGGCTAGGATAATGGTGATGATGTACTCAATGCCCAGGTGGCCGACCCAATACAGAGTGTGCGCCGCGGCGTACATTTCGACACTGGTACAGGTGGCTTTCATGATCATACCAATGACAATCAGAACAGCCATGGCGACAAAACCTTCGCATCGGCCCCATATGTCGATAATTTTAGCAATAGGAAGATTGCAGACTCCGCCTAAGATTGTTGCCACAATACTCGTTGTGCCTAGCAAGCCGTGCTGATTGAATGCCGATGTGATGTAAGGGACGAGGGTGCCTTGGACAGACTGCAACAACTGATCGACGAATGCGACAAGGTATAGTCTGAGGACAGTCAGCTTCATATCCCGACAAAATGCAGTCGCAAGTCATGTTGCATTCTGCTGGGAAAGATAACTTACAAAACAAACATGACGATGAGCAACTCCTTTGACCAAACAGTAGTGATAGCTTCAACCCGCTTAACACCCTCCTGCTTGTGCTCGGAATTATCGTCATGGACTGGTTTCTCGTCATTGTCCTCGCGCGTTTCTTCACCTCCTCCTAGTCGCTCCTCAAAAGCTTTTTTAATGTCAGCAGGGACTTCAGCCGTTGGCTGCGGTGTGAGGGCGTTTATCTCTGCCATAATGAACACTGAGGCGTCGGTTGAAAGAAATGATCATACGACAGAGGTAAGAGGAAAAGGGCGAAGTAAATAAGGAAATAAGCTTGAAAGTTAAGGTTAATCAAAACTTGGGAGATGGTACCAATTAGCAGCGGCGGGCTGCAGCTAATTAGTAGTGATGAAGGGAGGTGCTGCGACTTTCGGGGCAAACCCATGGCAGCATTCTAGACCCTTGTACGAAATCGATGAAAAAAGCGCAGATTCCGCTCGCATTTTAGCAATCCGAGGATTCCACTCAAATGCTATTGGTACAACAAGTGGCGCCAGTCCGGGGGATCTCAGGAGTTGGGCGGAGATGAAGCCAAAAGAGCTGCGATCGCCGTTGTTCCCCACCAATTTTCGGTCTTATCAGATCATCAAGATAATCTGATAAACAATTCTCTGCGCGGGGGCAAAAGCCACTGACATACTCTACAACAGAATTGTGCCACCGGCAATCGCGCAACCGCACACCATCATAACGGCATCCGATCGAGAGGCGGGCGTTAGTCCCAATGCATCTGACACGCTCATTAGGCTCACTTGACTTGGTTAAGTTGATCGGATTGTAATCGGAGGCCATCAATCAGTGTTCATGAACACCCTTCTAAATTTGGTTCTCGAAGGATGCATGCAGCGGCCAAGACGACCAGCTCATGCTTGTGCACACCCACTGTTTGCATGACTGACTCGCAAGAAACCAGGGTGCAAGCATATCCCAATGTCGACATCCGAAGGAACAATGCCAAGGGCCTAAGACTCTCATGAATGCCACACCAAAACACCCTGATGAAATGAATTGTGCCTGATGCCAACAGTGACTCGAGATTCAGGCCCCTCATCAGACCGTGTTGGTAGGGTCTGAGCTTTGGAGCGCGCTGGAAGATTAGACAAGGTGTTCAACGGGCGGCTCTTAATCATTAATACTATTCATAGGACCGACAGTGTAAGATGCTCTATTTCCATCGATCGAACGGGAATTAATCGGGCTGGCTGCTGCTTTTAGTAATCTATACGTCGTATCCATATGTCATGGATTTGACAATCCAGCGTATCGACGAGTCGCCAGTCACAACCAGTAAGCACAATGCGAAAAATTTGAGCAATCTTTCTTCTAGTGGGCTTGGCAGTGCTTATCGCCGCTGCACAACTCCAAACAGTCTTCTCAATCATGTTGAGTATGATTGCCGCTAGTTTCAATTTGACGAAGCCACATATTACACCGGCATTTAAAACCATTACCACTATATTTGCATTATTGATTTGCCTAGCTAGTTGATAATAAACTTGTATCGCGGAGCTGCTGGTGGCCCGTAGCTACAACTCCACGGTCTCCTGTCATTCATGATTTCATGCCGTTCTCCTGGTGGTGCCTGCCGATTAGAGTATGAACGCCGCCAATATGCCACCTGCTGCCACGAATCCCGGGACATGATGACCTGGCGCAATGTCTGGCGTTGCGGTTGAACCTGGTTGGCCGGTGATGGTGGCCGAGGTCTGTGTTGTCGCTGTATTCTCGCTTGAGGTAGATTGGCTTTGGCCTCTAGTTGAGGATGGTGTTGACGTAACCGTCACTCCGGGGAATAGTTGACCACGGCATGACTCTGGCACGACTGCTGCATAAGCCGCTTGATCTGACTGCGGACAGGTTTGGATACACTGCACTAGGAGACTGCCAGAGAGAGATTGACATGTGCAGTTATCGAGGTCTGCGCCTGTCTCGTCGCCATCACAAAATGAACTCGTGGGATTGTCCGTGATACAAGTCTGCACACACTCGGGAAATTTGGAGCTCTGGCCTGATACTAGTCGTGTGGCTAGAAGTAGAGTTCCAACAAATTGAGTGCAGATCCACATGATTTTCTGTAGGGTGATGTGACTTATATCTATTGATTGTACGCGAGTGAAGCGATCTGATGTGTCGAAGCAATTTGATTGAAGAATCTTTGCAAAACAAGACGCCGGCGCTTCTTATTATATGCTTCAAGACTAAAACATGACGCGGGCCAAGTGTTTGAGGAGCGCCGACTTTCCAACTTTCTCAGGAGGCTTACAGCAAAGCGGAAGAATCATGCGCCGACTTCAACAAATGAGGTTTCGCCTGCAGGGAATATCGACATGAAGGGCACTCAATTTCCAACATTTGTTACTTTAAATAGTATCCGTTTCTTGAAGCTAAATAAAAGCGATGAATCTTACTCTGTGCCAGATCGCCAATGCTTAGAACTCGGATGAGTGATAGCTAAGTTGTGTGCGTTTTATTACTTGGCATCCTTTACGATGAAACCAGCCGCAATATGAATTCGAACCTTGGCCAGCTAATCATCCAGTTGTTAGTGCCAAAGCCTTCGAGACGTCCCAATAGATTTTGAAGTGAGATCATGAGAGGCAAAACCGTCGATATCTATATTGACATTGGTGACAAGATGACCCACATTGAGGCACCTAAGCAGCTGAAATTTTTTGGCATTTAGCTGAGCAATGTCCAATAACAATTCCTACAATCGAGAGGCTGAGATACCACATGTTTGAGACCTTGCTTGGATAGAGTCGCACATGTTTTCCTTCCAGTCATATCAGCAATATGTTAGTCCGGATAGCGTTGACGTTGCGTGTCTAAAGAAAGCTGTCATGCGCTATGGAGATCATGCACCGACCATGTGGGAGGTCCTGCGTAACGGTCCCGCCGATTTGTGCTACCCGCAAGTGCATGGTAGGTGCATGTGGCGCTGACACCACACGTTACTTAATCTGCATATCAAGTTGAATGCATACTCGACAGGGAACCTCTTTATGGACATGAGGACCGTCGCCGACGATTTGCACGCACAAGCGCAAGTCGGGGTCTCCATAGTGTGTGGCTCATCAATCCTCAGCTGGCCATGGTGTGGCCCCAAAAGTGGCGTAATCCACTTGAGGGCCAAACACCTCCGCGATGGACGCTTTTGGCATGTTGATGGATCAGGAAGTTCGCACGCTCATCACCACCAAGGTATTCCAGCCCTTATGAGGATCCCTCGTGCCAGATGATCGGATCGAGGTCATTCTAAAAGGGAAAGCGTCATCAACAAGGGTGCAGGATAGCTACTTTGACAGCTGGGCAGTCGCAAGGCGGTGTAATTACTAACCAGACAGCCGGATTCGCGCCTGCAGATCATCTTGAAGCCTGTCAGTGCGTTTATCCACACAATTCCTCCACCGTAGCCTTACAGCCTATAACGTGCTCTCAATGAGCTGGTCTACCAGGCGAATACTTATGAGTCCGGCAATTGCGGCTGCATCCGGAGGGCCCCATGAGTCGGGCATGTCAACGCCCCTTGTCCCCTGACTACCGCATTTTCAGCGCCATTGCCGTATGCTTTGCAGCGACTGCTTGCTGGCAGCGATGGATGACCAAGTCCCCGCTTCGAGGACCTCAAACCCCTCCTACCTATCGCAGCTAGACTGGTCAAATGCTTGGAAGGAACATGAGGCATTGTATTGTCTACTGTTACATTTGATGTTGGACTTCCCGTGCTTCATTGAGGCATGTTACACTCGAGATTGATTGCCGCTCCTCGACAGAACTATGATAAACCTGGTATTCCATTCTGCTTAGCTTATACTCAGATTAGACAAGCGTTGAGCTTGTGATATCGGCTCCCCGACTCCTGGAGATGGACAGATGCGCGAGTACTCCCTCGAACTGTATTTTTGTGAGATGAATGCGGGCACCCTGAGGAACAACTTCCCTATTACTGCCAGTATTGGGAAGAGATCACCTTTGACTGGAACTTATTGGTATTAGTGGTAAAATGAGATTCATGGTCCGAGCACGTTCCGGGACCTTCTCCCCCCACCGTACCCTCTGCGAACCTGGAGCTCACTTCGGCGTCCCAAGTCCAAAGACTGTTTCCCTGTGGTGGGGTGTCTCCACCAACACATTCATTCGCCTTTTCCACTGCCACACTCCCTCTCCGGCCTCCTTGACGCACTGCTTCTTTTCTTTTTGGAAGCATTGGTCACTTTGTACCCTACATGAGTGATCTTCTTCTTGCCGAATTCGTTCACAACCTTCACCAGCAGCCACAATGGCAGCTCGACGCCATTGTCAACCTTATTAGTCCTTGTGCAGTCGACTTGCTCCCCTGCCCTTCCATGCGTCAAGAGATCGACCTCGCTCTCGCGGCGGCCTCTTCATATGACGAATCAGGGCGGTTTTAGACTATCTTCCATATGCGAATTATCCCGCGTCTTCTACTTATTGATCCTCCAGCCGAACATGCCTTTGTTGAGAGTCTAAACACAACTCTCCGAAGAACAACCCACATTCGATGAATTCCATTAACCTAAAACGCAAACGCTCTTCCTCTCCTTACGCTACCATGGAACAGCCTAGCCCTACAACTGGTGATGGGGACCAAGGCGGCGAGGAGTCAAAGGAGCGGAAGAGATGCATTTGTCCCGACTGTGGCAAAGCCTTCAAGGACCTTAAGACTCATATGATCACACATAAGAACAAGCGTCCTGCAAAGTGTCCTGTTTTGTCTTGCGAGTATCACACGAAAGGGTTTGCTCGCAAATATGATAGGGACCGCCATGCACTCACCCACTACAAAGGGACCATGGTTTGTAGCTTCTGTCCTGGGTCAGGCACAGCAGCAGAACAATCCTTCAACAGGTCCGATGCATTCAAGAAACACTTGGTCACAGTCCACGAAGTCGAGCAGACACTTCCTAACAGCGGCCAACGGTCTGGCGACGTTATTGACACTGAGGCGAAGATAATCTCCTACGCTCCTGATGCCACTGGCAATTGCAGCACCTGCCCGCGGAGCTTTTCGAACGCCCAGGATTTCTACGATCACTTAGATGACTGTGTGCTGCAGATCATACAGCAAGAAGATCCTGCCGAGGCCATAAACGCTGATCGTCTCGCCGAGGTTGAGGACGACGAGAATGTCCACCAAACACTACGAAAGAATCACGTCTCTACCCCAACACAGACAATGTTCACTTTGGACGACGATGATGGGGGCCAGGGCTCCGAAGACGATGACGAACCGGATGCATTTGCCACTGGCTTTCCACCCACGAGCAAGAAGCGGAAGGTTAGTATCGCCGGGAGTTTGCAAAAGGAAAGTAAGGGACGCGGCCGCAAAAGCCGTCGAGACTACCCCTCGTCCTGGGGTTACGACAAAGGGCAGGTTACGATGAAGCGGAGAGTTATGTCGGTGTTTAACGGTCCTCGCCGGCTAGCAAAAGACGACATGATGCTCTCGACGGAGCACGAGGTCCGAATCAAGCTATCCGACGGGAAATCCTACGTGACAGACTTGGATGTCCAGACAATGAAGCGCGCCGAGGTATTCCATAACACCATGGACGACCAGAGAAACAACATGACGATGGACCCCTCAGCCAAGATCGGCCTCGAAGATGATCCGATGTTACTTGGGAGTAGCGGGATGTCATTGACCAGAGCTATTGCGCTTCATCAAGGCAGTTATTTCCACGAGACACAGATTAACATACCGCCACCCTTTGGGACTGGTGATGTATTAGGAGGGCAGGAGCCGATGTGATTTAGGTTGCTATCCGGGCGTTTGGTGCATATGGTGTCATGGTGTTTGGCCTAGTAGCATTGTGACTAGTAAATCATCAACAACAGGAGCGCTGCCTCCTTGCTGTCACTTCTTGCACTTTACACTGTCGCTAGATACTTTATTACGTGTCTACATTGTTACGAAAATATGGGTTGTAGACTACTTGATCTGCTTCCAACCCCACAATTCGATCCTCCTCTTTAAGAATGCAGACCTAACAACCATGTCCAGGTCGTGTACACGTGTTCTCCATTGCGCATGCGTGATATTCCTAGTTTGTTTATCGGAGAAATCGACGAGAGTGTGGTTTTAGCTGTTCGGTCCGGGAAGGAGAACGGTTATTTTGCGGGACAAGGAAATGATAGAACCTAGATAGACTGTATGAGATGTCAGCTTTTATGAATCAAGGATAACATGCGTTTGATTGTGAAGCATTGATGGGCGTGTTTCGGAGCATATTTGCAGTGGCTCTCGTGGCTGATTGTCTGTCGTTACTGGCACCTCCGACTCGAAAAATGCCGTTACAGCTGGGCTTTCTGTTAAAGGAGGGATGGTGTTAGTCCGGGCATGTAATTGAATGACAAAACTGGAAACCAATGGCGTGCATCCATAGTCTCACAGTCACTGTCTCTGGGTTGCAAGCGTGGCCCCAGGTCGGAAATCCAGGGGTCTTGCAGGAGATGCTTGAGAACCCAGGAGCCACTTAGTGGCTGCAAATCGGAGATGCAAATTGCGTCTAATGAGCGAGATGCAGCTTCCTGAAAGAGAGCACTAAAAAAAACGTGGACCGAGGCAACGTTTCTAGGAGGAACTCGGATTACTCGATAGAATCGACTCGAATAAACACACCGTACTTGTCTTGATAATCAACCCTTGTCATGGCAGCTGAAGCGCTGCGTAGTTGTATTCACTCTCTTTTCTTGGTTTCAAGCAAGATCCTTGTTGAACGCGGGCGAGCCTAGCGTACCAAATTTTGAGTTTCAGGTGTCTTTGCTTGAAGTTGGAAGACCCCGAGAGACCCTACCCTGGACCTGGTCTGTTTCTTCGAAACAATGGGGATTACTCGCCACAATGGAGAAGCCGCTTCTGCAAGTCTGACCTAGTTTGCAACGGTGGCGTTTAGTGACTGCTGACAGCTCTCTGGCAGCTTGACTCGTGGGGGTGACAGTGGTAAGGGACGCGGGAAGCATACCCAGGACACGTCGTCATCATACAGCTCTCCTTGTCCTGCTCTGCTCAGCGCTGACTGCTAGCAGCAAAACTACGACATTGGCCTGAATGACATCGAACTCTAGATAAGATGGTGCCTCTGTCGTGATTGGCATTGATGGGCGCTACGCTGCAGTAAGGCGACCCGGCAGTCGGGGTCCAGAGCTGGCACCAAGAGTGAAAAACCGCTGATGCCCCATCAAACCTCAGCTGAGATGCCCCTCGCTAACAGCCACAGTGGGGCCGGATCTACCTCTAGCTCAACTCACTGAGGAAACGGTTCCTGCGCATGCCAGGCGTGCCAGGGTAAGAACGTGCCCAGCGGGATCACGACGGAATAAATTGCGCCGGAGATCTCTACCGCGTACCTGTCAGTCGGTCGGTGCTAGTAGTCGTTAGATCACCGTTGTTACCGTAGTCGGGGCAGGGCTCTCCAGAATGCTCGGAGGACTCTCCGACGACGTTCTTCACATTTGGTGCTGTCGATACTTTGTTGTAGCAGCAGCCTTGGTTCATTCGGGTATATTGCGGAAAACCCACATTGAGTCACGTTCAAGTGTGAGACGAGTCCATGTACGAGAATAAATAACGTTCTGAGATGATTTTCACCTTGATTCGGCGAAATCAATCAATGTGACGGCATTTTGGGTTTGCGGCTATTGCACTTGAAATGCCTGTAAAATTATTCGTATCTCCGATCTTGATTTCGCCAGTGCTTGACGTCTCGCATTGGAGCCAATAGAGGGCTCAACAAACCACAACAAAAAATAGGGCAACAAGGATCCGCGGAGATGAACCGAGCTGAAAAATGGCGGTGGCTTGTCGCTGAATTGGTGGCTGTGCGTCCTGTGGAGAGTGGCTCTTGGCCTTCAGAGTGGGTTGATCACTGCTGCTTCAGTCACGGTAGCCCCAAAAGCCACAATTATGGTTGCTTCAAAGGACAATCTTGCGCGCAACATGCATGTGGCAACGGTGAAGATCAAGATCAAGCCTCGCAGAGTGCATTTGCAGCGGTGAGCCCTCCGAGAGTACTATACATGTGCTCTGCTGTGCATTTTCGACGGTGTAGGCGGTCAGATCCAGATCGGTGGCATTGCGCGTACATTGATCTGGTCGGGACGATCATTCAGCTGCAATGAACCAATGTATAGTGATTGTGACTCTGTTCAGGTTCATGTGCAGATGTAGGCTTATAGCAGATAAGATCTGTGGATGTAGGTCAGTCCCGAAGATCGCCCCCCCCCGTCTAAGAGGAGCCGCAGCAAAGCCGAGAAATGTACGCCCAAACTGGTTGACTACACATGTGGCGTTTACGGAAATTTTGCACAAAATAAGCCTGGATTGTCTCAAGAACAGCAGTTCACCGCCTTCCCGCCTCTTGTTGTTTGGACCAGCTGGTGAGACTGGGCGGCTGCACGGACATCAAGTTGCGATTGGACGCCCCAAACTTGGCAATCATGACATTGCGATGGTGATGAGCGAGAAACACATCTGAACTCAAAATTCAAGTCAACTTGGCGAAGGTCTGTCGGATTGGCGGATTGGCCCTCTCGTTCGAAAACTTCCATCAGATTTTGTCACTACGACGCGCACTACAACGCATTCATCGTGTAGCATTTTTTTCTGCCCTGAGCTATCGCATAGTTTTCTCACTAGAATTGTCACTATATCCTAAAGACCTAGATTCAGCAGATTGATAAGTCTGTATTAAACAGTTTGACGTGGAGCGAACTCATTTAACAGATTCATTTATGAAAATCATTCATAAAATGTTACCCTTGATAACGCACTAAGCAGAGAATGAAATCATAAGTGGCATTCGCAAGGCGAATAAATAGCCATAGAAGACAATAGAGATCATGTCTCGATATGGAAACCATTGTAACCAGGAGCTAAAATATCTTTAAACATCAGCCAGACTAGGCTATAGAATATAAGTAATATAATGCTGTGTAACCTTTACAAAGCAACTTCTATTATTTCATATCTCTTGCTGTAGATGATTAGAGACAAGATATTCTCTACATCTCAACATAAGTTTCATAGGGAATGATCACTTCCAGACAGTTATAACTTAATTGCCGGTGCTGAATACAGTCTTTACGATGGTGTCAAGGCATAGCCCTCTTTCCATCGTGTGCGGACGGGCAACACGGTAATCAATAACTTTCTTATATTCATACGAGACAAGCACTGCCTAATGACTGCTTACGATCACGGGGTTTCGCTAACGGTGAATAAATGACACGGTATAGATTATTGTCCTTTCGATAATTCTAGATTGAGGGTTCTATACAATTATTAACCTTTCCTAGACCTGCGCTGCATCTTACCTATCATCCAAGCACATGAACCTAGCCAAGTTACTCATGCATCCTTGACACTAGACTCCCGCTTCAACTTGTCGGAATACATATCCACTTCTAGAGCCTCAATCGGCAGTAGGTCTTCCTGGGATACTAGTGATTCCTTGGCAGGGAAGACTTTGCTCAGTAGTACATAAGTCAAGAACGCGCTGAGAAAGCCGTAATACCATACCAAATCCGCAATGTACTCTGCGCCACCAATGTTGACAGTTGCATCAATATTTTTTGCCAGGGACGGCATAGTCGGCCCAACACTGACTAACATCGCAACTGCAGCCCGCCAATTAACACCTCCACGGAAGCGATATCTCGAGTGAGGTTGATAGAGCGCCGGGATGTCAACCCTACCCCTCTTCACAATCCAATAGTCGGCAATCGAGATGGCAATGATTGGCGCCAGGAAGATTCCCAAGCTAGCCATGAAGTTAAGCAGACTTTCTGCACTGGTGATGATCTTCCACGGCACCATTGCCCAGCCACCAATAATGGTTGCGATGACGGCAGCGCGTCGGAGGTCTACATATTTTGGAAATAGCGATGCCATATCGTTGCTAACGCTGATAACGTTGGCACTGACGTTGACACCAATCTGCGCAACCATCCAGGCAAGGCCGCAATAGAAGGCGCCTGCTCTTGCGCCCGGGGATGTCCAGTATGAGGCGAGCGTCAGCGGGTCCCAGATATATTCGCCGTATACAACCTTTGAAGCAGAAGCACTGATGATTCCAAGCATAGCAAGCCAGAAGCAAATAAGCGGGAAGAAGATGGTTTGCGTGTAGATAGTGCGGGGATTCCGGATATATCTTGTGAAGTCGGATATGTTCGTGCCAACGGTAGACCTGGGATAATGGTGAGCATGATATGTACTAAGTCTACCATATAGGTGCTACCTGTGCTTTGGAATGACTTACCAACTTCCAGTCTGGCTGGTCAGCGTAGATACAATCAACCAGGCCTTTGTTGACCCGCTGACTGTAGGCTGTTGTTTCCAGATATCTCCTGATCCACCTGCCATCCGACAAATAGCGATTGTGGTTCCAGTCGCCGCCGTTACAGTCACGAATGCTTTGAAAATGAAGAACCACTTGAGCTTGTGTGGTCTAATGAGCAAGAACGGCAACTGAATCGACCAAAATAGGAAATGACTGAGCAGCCCTTGTGTTGTGATCCCGGCTGAGGCGGGAAGATGATTCGGAATCCGCTGATAGCTAGGCCAGATGGCAGTAAGCATTACCGTGAGCGCTGTGCTACCCGTGTAGGTTTGGATCGAGTGCCAAAACAGTGCCGTAACCATACGACAGACGATAGCAAATTTGGCGAAATGATATCCGAATGACGCACGAATCCACACCGGAAATGGTACGCGAAGATAGGCACCAGGGGCGCCGTTGAAAGCGATCGGAAGAGCCATAACACAGGAGCCGAGTAGGACGCAGTAAACGGCTTCTCGCCAGGTAAGACCAATGGCAAGAACAGATGCACCGATTTCCCAGCTTTGGGCGCTAAGCTAAACAGATTGTCAGGAACAGGAGAACTTGTAGCAAAGCCGAGGATAAGTAATCGTAGACATACTATGTCACTCAGCCAGTACCCAAAAACCGACCATGCTGTCCAGATACGTCGCTCAGGAGGTGTAACATCAAGATCGATATTTGTCCAGATCCCTTCAGGAGCGAAGCTGGTCTGTTGTTTTGGAAGCACCCACCCATCAAGGTGCTTCTTCTCCTTGAGCGATTCCTTAGCTCGGGAAGCACGTTCACGAACTCGATTCATGTTGTATTCCCTGGAAATTTTGCAGCTTTGTTCAAGTTTCACTCGAGAACAAGTTAGGATGGTTTGATTTCAATTCTACTGGATCAGGTATATTTAAGACTGACTCGAGTCAAGCAGGCATGTCTAGAACATGATCCAAGATAAGAATCTCTCTGGAAAGTGGGTAAGATACAAGAACTTGTGGTGTCGCGCATTTTGATCGGAGATGAGCGCCAGTGCTAGCTTCCCAGGAACTGGGCTATTAGCACTTGTAGAGTGTTAGATCGCTGGTAACAGCATCCTATACAATGCATCTTCTAATCAGGGTACTCACGGAAGCCAAGGATCGAGACCGAAAAATATTTGATCGATTTAATTGTCACGCATGGTCGATATCATGTCTTATATGTAATCGTGAGCGAATGCAAAGTATTCTACATTATCTTCTCAAATGCCGGAGAACAGCGCAGAAAGTCTATTTTTACTTGGGGTACCCCTGTCTGTGGGAGCTTATCGCTCGACTAAAACATCGGAGCCGCACCGAGGGCTTTCGCCAATATCGGCCGGATAGCGGTTTCGGCTGCCCGTGGCGAACATCATCTGCCGCCGGCGTATCTTACAGTTCCATTAGCAGCAAACACCGAACACCATATAATCAACGAAAGCTGGGCGTCTAAACACGTGCCAATACTCTACTACTACTATCAATTGCATGGTTTCTTTTGACAAATACCAATTGGCTACCCCCGAGTTTCAGCCAAACCCCACACCGAACCCCACTGATTGAGAATTAAATCCGTCCATGATACTGCATAGCAATCACAAAGTGACCAACCCGAAGACATGATTGATGTGGAAGAGCTAACTGTCAGCGGCGTGCACGATGCCCTTCGTAAGGGTAAATACACATGTCGTGATCTGACCTCTGCTTATCTGGACCGAATCAACGCCCTCGATAAGGCTGGTCCCCGGATAAATGCAACTTGGGCACTATCTGAGACCGCACTTGATGAAGCCACTGAATTGGATCGTTATTTCAAAGAGACAGGTCAATTCAAGGGCCGTCTTCACGGAGTCACTGTATTGGTCAAAGATCAGGCTGACACGAAAGGCATGGTCACAACTTACGGTTCTGCTGCAGCACTCAAGAACATCCCAGAAGAAGACGCATTCATCGTCGAAAAGTTGAAGGCCGAGGGTGCCGTGATATTAGGCAAGACGAGTATGCCTGACTGGGCCAGTTCGTGGTTTTCCGCATCATCGGTCACCAACTGGGAATTCACTCACAACCCTTACAAGCTTGGGTTCGATGTTGGTGCCTCATCTGGCGGATCAGCCGCGGCAGTGGCTGCCAATTTTGCACTACTTGCTATAGCTGAGGATACAGGCGGGTCAATTCGATGTCCGTCATCCTTCAATAATATTGTCGGAATCCGCTGTACACCAGGTTTGATCAGCCGTTCAGGATTTTGCCCTTTGCTCAAGCCTCAAGATACGCCTGGTCCTATGGCGCGAAATGTCGATGACTGCGCACGCATGCTCGACTGTCTGGTAGGCTTTGATCCTAACGACGAATGGACTGCCGTCGCAGTGACGGCGGGCACGCCTCAAGGCGGAAGTTATGCCACCGACCTCGATCCTACGGCTATCACTAGAACTCGTATCGGTGTCATCCGTTCACTTTTTGGCCCCGACTCCGACGCCGCAAGCGCTGCGGTCAACCGAGTCATTCACAATGCCATGACAACTCTTGCCGCAAAGGGAACTACATTCGTGGACATTGAGATACCAGACCGCGCACACATGACGAGCTACACATCTATGTACGCACAGCGCTCGCGCGGTGACATCAATGCCTTTCTAGCCACAAAACCCCATCTTCCCAAAGACGTCGCTGATATCGTGCCTGTTGAGCCACCGCATCCGACTCTGGACTTTACAAGCGCAATCAGCCACGGCCCTCTAAGCCCGGGAGACGATGAGACGTATCTTCCTCGTCTCATCTCGCGAGAGTCATTCCAGCGGCAAGTGGTTTGTATCATGGCCCAGCATAATGTAGAGGCTTTGATGTTCCCTGATGTACAAGTTCCACCACCTCGACATGAGGACGCTACTAATGGGCGGTTTCCAACGTGCTGGGACTTCCCAATCAACACCCTGCTCGCGAGCTCAACACGCTTACCGGCGATCAGTGTTCCGGCAGGGTTTACAGAAGATGGCCTGCCCGTTGGAATGGAGCTGATGAGTTGGGAGTATAGGGAGAAATATCTACTGCAACTGGCAAAGGGTGTTGAAACTCTGATTGGGGCAAGAAAGTCGCCCAAATTATGAGCATGCCAAGCATGCTTGACAATGCTGAGTGTTGCAGAAATTGGATAGTAAGACACTTGAGACTTTAAAGATCGAAGATGTGCAGCCATGTCTCAGATATGATAGTCTTCGCCGGATCATACGCGAGATTCTATGTTCAATCTCATTGAGAGTTATTACTTGCGCTGTCTCATCGGATTCTGCGCTGTGCCTTAAAAGACAGACTTCTTGCAACGTGGATTCTCCCAACTCCTCACAAGACGTGATTATACTACTGAACCCCAGGTGCATAGTCCTCTCTAAATAATTTTTTTTTTCAGGAATCGATAGCATTACAGCGAGGCTGTTGGTGGTCGAGTCAGATTTATTGCAGACCACTATGGACTTCGACACGATCGAAAGTCAGACAATATCCTTCCTTACCCAGTAATTTCACTGACGATGGATCAATTGCGCAATATGTCTGTTGGAGACCGCTCTACCCTGCCCTAGATACGAAAATTGACCCGTTTCAGATTAGAAGTGATCGGTCTGATCACGGTGCACGACATCATGAAAGACCAAGAAACTTAAATAACACCAAGAGCACCACTCTCTATCTTCAGACACCTATTTTGAAGTACTACGAGGTGCTTTAGTACGAAGAGTCCTTTTCTTATTTTGTTCAACGCACGCAGTTTCGCCATGAGCAATTCATCACTACTGCTATTGCTTCGTTACTAAAAACAGTACCTAGGTAAGAGACTCGCAGTCTCGGGCACAGAGCATGCCTGGGCTAATGCCAATTCAAATTGTAATATCCCGACCTGGTATTGCTTCCTCGCATAGATTGTTGATAGGACACCAAAGACAAAGCTCATGACAGTGAGGAAGACAACAATAACAGCAATCCAAAAATTGAGATTCTGAACGAGATCTTTCCTGGTTCTATCAAACCTCAGCTGCTGAAATTCCTCTAGGCGGAGTCTCAAGAGTTTCAAGAAGGGCTTCAATCCTAATGCGCCAATAGACATACTTGTCGAGCTCCAAGTTCAGGTCTCGATTGCATCGACCAAGCCCGTATATATGTTTTCTTTCCTTTTGTAGGAATGACCTTGTCGACTTGTATTCAAACGGTAGCAATAGGTTGAGTGTGTCGATTGCTTCTTCTAATTCTGCCTTTGGTATCATGGGGTCATTCTCTCGAAAATGATTGACCAAGCGGATTTTGTGTTCGTAGACCGTGACTTCCCTGGAATGAGGATCAAGCAAAAGATGGTCTGCAAGGTTGCTGGACTAGTGAATGGAAATCCATATACCCTGACGAGATGCTCCAAAGTTAATGTTGGTTCGAGTTTTGTACCTTGTAGCTGCAAGGTCTGAGGTTTTGTGCCTCGAAGTGATCACTGATGGTGTCCCTTGAGGGATACCTCATTTCTCCACATGATAGAACTGATTTGGTCGAGAGACATTGCATTATATGGCCCTCTTGCCTGACCTTTTGTGAGGCGAATGTTCACAGTCAGCCAGATTCGAAACACAATTTCCAATTTCTCCAAAAAAAAAAAAAAAAACCTTTGTCCAAGAATGGCCACGATAAGAATTGACATTATCATCTCATTGATCACGGCGGCTTGTGCTAGTCTTGGTGTAACAGCCCGGGTAATCCTGCGTACAAGGATCTAGTAAATTGAGCCGGCAGTGCTAAACTTAATATTTTCACATTCAAAGTGCGAAATGAATAGATAGAAGAATAATGTCATTAGGATAGACATTGTTGTGCTGGGTGATAGTCCGATGACGATTTCGGGATAGGACAATGATGCGATAGTGTACCGTGCCTATGAAAGAAATATATAAGCAGTTAGAGAATTGGCTAATTATTCTTGTGTCATGCGACCTGCATCTTCAAATTCAAATGCTTCCACAGAAGGCATACTGATAGGATTTCTGTGTAGCTTGGAATAACTGCCT